TCCTTAACTGTTGGTACCATAACCCCCAAAAACAATCCCAACTTTCCTTTTGTGGTATTGAACCTTATGGTAAAATTTCATAGAGATCCATTCACTTTAACTAAAGTTAGAGTGCGAAAACCAATGTGTCTTCGGACGACGACGACACAGGACGACAACGACGCCAACGTCATACCAATATACGACCACAAAATTTTTTTGCGGTCGTATAAAAATGTGTGCAATGTTCTGCTAAATTATCTCGATTCAAAGAGATAATGTTGCAAATTAGAATTTTTAGTTTCTGATAGTACATCGCTACATGTACAATGTATGTAGATTAAATATTATAAACACATGCTATGTGGATTACATGTATATCACTAACCTAACCAATAATAAACTAAAAAGATCACACAAGGAAGGACATGTACAAAATAGATCCTGAAACAGGATAACAAATAATGGCCATAATTTAATAAGACGTATATCATGGATAACCAACACGACAGCTACAAAGGATATGGGCCCTTACAATGTATATAATTATTTCCCAAAACAGGATCTAATATTTAAAACAAGTACATGTACGTATACTTAATTTATGGGGAACAGGTCACAACTTTCCACTTTGAAAACACCCCCTGACAAAAATCAACCCAAACACTCATAAAACTTGCCCCATTTTCAGAATACATGTGTGTTCTACGTGAAGTGATCTGATGTTAAGAAGTGCAACAGAATTGATTATAACAAATGTAACATGACTGGGGTTAAGACATTCTTTTACTTATAATATTAATATTTTGGAAACAGAGAAGGACAAGAACTAAAGGTTAGTTGAATACCAGAGGTAATAACACCATGAACATGTATACCAGAGAGTTAACTAAATACAATCACAGATTTAAAATGGTCATCTGCATAATGATGTGAATTTTTATTGTCATGGTCTTATTTGTACTAAAAATAAATGGGGAATGTGTCCATGGGACACAGACGATGCCCCCGTTAGCATATCATATAAAGTTATAAAGGAACATAACTGAAGAACGGTAAAAGTGACACTACCCAAATTTGTACTTGATCTGAGTTTTGTGGTAATAAGTATTGTGTATAAGTTTCATAAAATTTGGTTGAGGCAAACTTAAGCTAGAGAATGGAAACGATAAATTCAGCAATTTTTCCATTTGTAAAGGGGCATAACTCAAGAACAATAAAAGTGACACCTCCAAAATTCAAACTTGATCTGTATTTTGTGGTAATAAGCATTGTGTATAAGTTTCATAACATTTGGTTGAGGCTAACTTAAGTTAGAGAACGGAAACGAAAAATTCAGCAATTTTCCATTTGTAAAGGGCATAACTCTAGAACAATAAAAGTGACACCTCCAAAATTCAAACTTGATCTGTATTTTGTGGTAATAACCATTGTGTATAAGTTTCATAACATTTGGTTGAGGCTAACTTAAGTTAGAGAACGGAAACGTAAAATTCAGCAATTTTTCCATTTGTAAAGGGCATAACTCTAGAACAATGAAAGTGACACCCCCAAAATTCAAACTTGATCTGTATTTTGTGGTAATAAGCATTGTGTATAAGTTTCATAACATTTGGTTGAGGCTAACTTAAGTTAGAGAACGGAAACGAAAACTTCAGCAATTTTTCCATTTGTAAAGGGGCATAACTCTAGAACGGTATAAGTGACACCACCAAAATTTTATCTTGATCTGTGTTTTGTGGTAATAAGCATTGTGTATAAGTTTCGTAGCATTTGGTTAAGGCAAACTAAAGTTAGAGAACGGAAGGAAAAATTCAGCAATTTTTCCATTTGTAAAGGGGCACATAACTCTAGAAGGGTTAAAGTGACGCTACCAAAATTCAAACTTGATCTGTATTTTGTGGTAATAAGCATTGTGTATAAGTTTCAAAACATTTGGTTGAGGCTAACTTAAGTTAGAGAACGGAAACGAAAAATTCAGCATTTTTTCCATTTGTAAAGGGGCATAACTCTAGAACGGTTAAAGTGATGCCAACAAAATTCAAACCCCGCTACGGCGAGGGCATTAAAAGATCTATGAGGTTAAATAGTTGATTGTTTATTTGTGCAAGTGACTTGCAATATAATAAAATTAAGTGATTAATTATTAATCAACCTGGGACAGTGGTGTAACAGCACAACATTAGAACGAACTGTAAAAATCAGTTGCAATCTGCTTAACTCAAAAGATTGGTACGAGATCCAAAAACAACTAACATAAAAACAATAGACACAAAACACCAAAATATGAGTACTCGCAGTTACTAAAAGCTAGTTCAAAGCCAATAACATTTAATAAATAAATCATGTCCTCCCAGACTAAAGTATCAATCAGTACACATCCAATGAAATTACTGTAAAGACGTCTGAAACAGTCTGAGAAATTCATGACTTTGTGCAATACCAAAATATAAGTGTGATGGTGGTCATTTTGTTTACTTGTTTAGATTACAATTTATTTGGGGAAATTGGTTAAAGTTAGTATTACATTACTAACTTCAATAACTCTTTCTCCTTGCTATAGAATAAAGATAATACATGTAAGTTGTTTTGTTTTGAAATAAAGTGACATTCTAAACCGTAAACATGTTTCCTTTGGTGTTTTGTGAATCATTTTATTTTGACAATGATCAAAGGCCAAGTTCATTCATCTAAAAAAGACAGGAGGAAGATACTAAACGACTATCAAACTCATCACAATGAAATTGCAATGACAACAAAGAATAACACAAAACAACAGGCCACAACGCACATGTTTATTAGGCATAGTTCATAGTGCTGCATTGAAGTTTTAAGTTCCTGCAGAGCATTTATTTCCATGTGCAAAAAAGCTTAATGCAAACACAAACATCAACAATAATAACTTTAAGCTCACACAACCATTCAAATCATGCACTATTCCAAATCGAAAAAGAGCACTAAAATATTTAGGGTGTCTACACCTAAGCTAGTTATAACAATTATTAATATACCTTACATATATTATAAACAATTCTATTGGGTAACACGTTATCACGTGACATAGAATAATTCAGTTAACTTTTATTTAATTGCAAGGAGGGACGAATAACCCTAAAAATTAACACCAGCGGTGAATAACCCTATTATTCACTGATGAATAACCTTTTGAGTTTCTTGATTTGTACACGCAATATCTCCCATGAAAATGACGTCACAGATGTAAGTAAACAAAATGGCAATGTTCAACTTCAAGTCACAGGAAGCCCATCAAGTGACGAGGAAACAAGGCTTTGGAAATGCATCTAGTGCCGAGCATATCTCTTATAAACGGTCCTTTTCAGGGCCATCAATATTTCACAAAAAAGATTCTACCTTTGCATACCTGCCAACCCTCCCGTTTTGAGCGGGAGTCTCCCTCGCAAATGACGAAATTCTGGAAATCTCCCGCTTGCCGGTCTGCTCGCACGCGGGAGTATAGAATCTCCCGCTTCTGGATATTTACCTGGATTAACCCACGTTTGTAATTCTCTGACTTTTTCATTACTTTCAATATAAATAAACAAACAATCGGCGATCATTTGAAAACTTTGGTCAGTAGTTTTTATATTCGATGTATAAGTAATCGAAATTCATTTCTGCTATGTCAATTCCAACAAGATAGTCTTTGTCTGGACCAAGTGGCAGTGTAAAAAAGAAGAAATATATAACTGCAAATCAAAATGTCAAGCAGATTTGAATGAAAGATTTTCAATTTTTACGACCAAGTTCACTTGGCAATGAATCTTTTTGCACATCATGTACAATCAACTTTTCGATTTCTTCTGGTTGTCTGTACGATGTTTTAAAGCATGCTCAGTGTGAGACTCACAATAAAATCAAAATATGGAATGTTATGAGTTATGAGACTCGGAGGTACATGTATAGAAAAAGGGTAAATGAAAAAACCACCTTGTATAGATTATCACCATGAATTGGAGAAATAAAGTATATTTAGTAACTCTTATTGGTGTTTTGTAGATGAATACTTTAACAGGTCATATATTTAACTTGGAAATGTCGTTCGCACAAAATCTCCCCCTCAGGTTTCAGAGGTTGGCAGGTATGCCTTTGTTGTACAAATGAGAATTTCTAAGACATAAATTTATTTTTCGAACGTTTAATTGTGTTTGTTACGATACAGTAGGTAACGTGCTTTTTCAATGTTTCAAAAGTCCCTTCCACTGTTAGTTCAGTATAATAAAACAATTGTGGCCCCTAAGAAGGGATGAATATCCAAAATTATGATTTTCAAATGCTTAACAATAATACCAAATTAGCTTTGTATAAATACCAATTAACACAAATCTACATGGACACAAAAAAAAAATTATAAATAGCCATATGATAAAAAGAAAATATGAAATGACAAATGTAGCCACACAAGAGACAGATTATTCAGTCTAACACAAATCGTAAATGTAAATAGTAAACATTCATCAAATAATATAAAAAAAAAAATAATATTTCATTTAAAAAATTCAAGAAATATTTTGATATAGGCCTATATATCTACAAAGCATTTAATAATTCAACCTTTATTTAAATAAAAAAAAAAGTGCAAACGAACGCAAGGGGGCGAACGTGTGCCGTGTGGGGTGCGAACGGGTGGTGCGAACGTTTTTTTTTTTTTTACAGTTGGTGAGAAAATTTGACCCCACCCTCTCTAGTTTCCTTGTTTTATGATATATTTCAGAAAACTATATAATTCTATTCGACTTTACCATTGATTTATATGAAGGTTCTCGATTTCAAACAGGTTGGAAAAAAAAAACCTTGAGATGTTTTTGTAACACATCGGTTATCGTCCCTAAATATACGTATTTGTTTCGGATATTATTCTGAAATTTTATGAATTATATTATTCTACAAAAATGCCTAAAAAAAGTTACAGATAAAAATTAATTATTGGAAATAACAATTTACAAATAGATCTTCTCCTTAGGATTACCTGTCCATTATTTTCGAATTAAATCAGACGACCTTGAAGCTGAGGGTTAACAGGTCAAAGCTAGGTCAGCTTTGGCAGACGAATTTATCAAAGTGAGGAAAACTTGGTGACAAACCAACTTCCCTATGTACACATGATAATGTAAGGACAATTTTGTGAGTATTTTCCAGAGGGTATCTCTACTGTTGCCAGTGTTGTGCAATACTCTGCTACAAAAAAAGATATATACTTTTTGAGGGATAATTTCTGCAGTACCCGACCTTTTGGCTTTGCAGTTTTTTTTGTGTTTCCAAACATGCATGAAACTGACATGGATGTAATTTTATATTGACATTCTTGTAAACACACTTATGATGCATTAGCTTGTAGCATCATTGACCTTCAACAAACCTGCACATTATTTCTACATACCACAAACAGATAGAGCCTGTAAATAGCTATTTGTTAGTGGATGTATATTAAATAGGCACTGGCTACGGTTACATTGAAAAAAAGTTATTGTTACATTGGAGACTAATTGCAGGATCGCAGGGTTGGGTAAGGAACCAATTAATTACGAATGTAACAATAATATTTGTGTCTACAGTAACGTTGTGCTATTGTTATGTTAATGCACTTCAATAATAATAATAATAATAATAATAATAATAAATAATTATTATTAGTATTATTATTACGATGATTATCGAGTATCAAAGAATTAAGCAATAAAACTATACCAAGACACGAATATTATTATTACATTCGTAATTAATCAGTTCCTTATCCAACCCTGCATTCCTGCAATTAGTCTCCAATGTAACAATAACTTTTTTATTATTGTTACATTGCAATGTAACCGTAGCCAGTGCCTAAAAATATTGTGCACTGTTCATTTACGTGTTATAAAAGAGGTGAGTGGAAACAAATACAATTTGAATTAAAAATAAAGTTTACTGTTTACTGTTTAGCAGTTGTTTATTTCCCAAACTTTGTCCTACACTGAGTCAAGATATTGTAATTGAGATTAAATTGCTTAATTACTTCCACTTCATTTTTAACTCGGGTGGATAGTTGTCTCATTGCCATTGGCAAGCATACCACATCTCCTCATTTTTATATTACAACTGAATAACGCCCTATGGAAAAATTAAAAAAGAGATCCCCTCAGCCTGTGATGGGATATTGCTTCCCTTGTGAGTAGGTACTTTGCCAGCCGTAAGCAGTTGAGCTAGGGAAGCACTTCTTTAGCTCAGTCATTAGGGCACTGACTTCGAACACAGAAGACCCAGGTTCAATTCCTAGAGACAATGTGATTTTCTAATAAGAATCATGCTCTCCAGTTACATTTGGTGCCCAACTAATAAACCCACAGTGCTTCCCTTGCATAGTACATGTAGATACATGACAAGATGTAAGCGGTAGAGCTAGGGAAGGGAATAACTCTAGCTCAGTCGGTTTAAGTGCTCACTTTGAACAATGAGGTCCTGGGTTTCAAGTCCCAGAGGAGACCATGAGAATTTCTAGTAAGAATCATTCTCTCCTGTTACACCCTATGCAATAAACCTAGACATCCCATAAGTCCAACACCTGATTGGTCTGACACCCTCTAGTCCAGCACACAATGTTCTGACAATGGTATAATTCTTTGATTTCAATACATTATTGAATTTATATTATATCTACATATTAATAATAATTTGTATTTTCTGTCAAGAGTGAGCCAATGTTTGGATTCATCTGTCCCCCTCCCCCTCAACAACAAAAATAAAACAGTAAATAGGCATGGTATTACCAGTTCAGTTAATATACTCAAGACAGGTTCACATACCACATCAATTCTGAATTGTATATACATGTATTGTCTTCAGAGTATATATTAACTGTACAGGTAATGCCATGCCTTAGTTGTTTTGTTTTTGGTTGTTTTGTTGGTTTTTTTTTTTGGGGGGGGGGGGGGGGGGGGGGGGGGCTAGCTATAAAGAAGAAGAATCCAATCATAGGTCCACTAAGGCATTAAACAAAAACATAGATTTAAGGCATCAAGTTCTTATAAATCTTTCCTGTTGTGTCTGCCTGCAATAGTTTAAAGAAGAAATATCCTAAGAAATATTTCAATGACATCTATAGATAAATAACATATATTTAGAATAATTTATAAGACACTTGAAGTTGGACTGTTCCAAAGTAAATACTTAAAAAGCTCATGTGCAAGGATTTTTTTTTAGCAGGAACATAAATGCAAGCCTGGAAAACAACTTTCAAGTTATCATGGTTATTGTATGCTTTTTATACGCCCGTCAATTTTTGACGGGACGTATTATGGTATACAAATGTCCGGTGTCTGTCTGTCTGTCTGTCCGGCGTAAATGTAAGCGTACTTTCATTCCGCCGTGTATTCATTCCGGGTAACTGTTTTTCACTAGAGAATATTGGATGTAAATAGTTTGAAAGCGTCGATCTTGATATCGTTGTTTTGTTGATATTAGACCGGTTTATTGTTTACATAAATAAATGGGTTAAAATTAAAATGATTTTCAAGGAACCAGTTTAATTAATCTGAGTCAATCTAGTAAATAATATTGATGATAATGAGGAGGATGTTTTTATAACTCAAAATACTTTATCAATGATCAGGACATTGAACATGATATAAACCAAATTTAAAGAGCAGATTTGTTCTTACACAAAGTTTCAATTATAGAGGCATCCTTTGATATTGACAGAAGATATGATTTTATATCCAAGTCGACCGAAACGCAAATATACAGAAAAACTTTGGCAATCCAGTAAAAATAAATATTACAATTAGTGACAATTTAAAAGCATATGATTTGATAGATTTGCATAGAAAAATTATTTAAATCTTATTCGTTAATAAGCATTATTGTGTTTATATTGTGCGTTCAAAATGAGTACTAATCACTTCATCAATGAATGGATCTAAAGCACTGGTGTAATTAATCCCGGTATAAAATAACTAGTGCAATCATTCCGGTACAAAATCACTAGTGTAATCATTCCTTGTTTAAAAACACTTGTGTGAACATTCCTTGGATGAAAACTCTCCACTTTTTACATAAATCAACTATGCAAGTTTCAAATACACTAAAAACTATAAAGCCACATTTTATATATATTTCCCCTTCAAAAAAAACCTTTTTAGAACCTTATAATGACTGGTGGATGATTTACACTGGACCCGGATAGAAAAACCTAGTGATTTTTCGTTGGTGGATAAAAATCACTGGGGATTTTCTTCCGCCGGATAAAGTACACTGGCGGAATCAAACCACTGTTACATAAACATGTCGCACCATAACTTGAGAATGACTTATCCAAATTTCATGAAACTTAACATAGTTGTTTCTTAGTCAAACGATCTGTATACTTTTTGGTGAAAATAAGATTAAAACTTTTTGAGTTACGGGACTTAGTAACTAAAACAGGTGTGTTTTTTTTTTCACATCTGTATCTCAAAAACAATTTATGATTATTGCTTAAAACTTTACACACTTCTTAGTTATATTAATCTTAAGATCTGTATACTTTTTGGTGATGATTCAAAATTTTATTTTAGAGATATTTAGTATTTTGTTAAAAAAGGGGGAGGGGGTTTCACATGTCACGCCGTATCTCAAAAAAAGTTTATGATTATTGCTTAAAACTTTACACACTTCTTAGTTATATTAACCTTAAGATCTGTATTCTTTTTGGTGATGATTCAAAATTTTATTTTTGAGTTATTGAGTATTTTGTAAAAAAAGGGGAGGGGTTTTTCACATGTCGCGCATTATCTCAAAAACGATTTATGATTATTGCTTAAAATTTTACACACTTCTTAGTTATATTAATCTAAAGATCTGTATACTTTTTGGTTTTGATTCAAAATTTTATTTTTGAGATATTGATTTTTTTTTTTTAAAGGGGGGTTTTCACATGTCACGCCGTATCTCAAAAGCGATTTATGATTATTGCTTAAAATTTTACACACTTCTTAGTTATATTAATCTTAAGATCTGTATACTTTTTGGTTTTGATTCAAAATTTTATTTTAGAGATATTGAGTTTTTTGTAAAAAAAAAAAGGGGGTTTTTGCATGTCACGCCGTATGTCAGAAACTATTTATGCTTATTGCATAAAAATTCACACACAAGACGACGGGCGTATCATGCGCTCATGGCGCAGCTGTTTATTTATTCTTTCCAAGAAATATGGCCAGTAAAGTGAAGTACAGGATTACATTAGTTTCGAAAATAGTTTAGGCAGGTAAAACAAATTTATTTTGCAAAAATGGTTGATACACAGACATTAAAGGGGAATAATCTGGACTAAACAGTACTTAACCAAAACCCAAGTATTTGGGACAAATAAGGCATTTAACAAATGTTTAAATTAGGATAGGTTAAGGAATCTTAAATAAGATCAAACATTTATTGTTCCTTTGCTTATAATGGGTCACAACCATAAAATTCCACTTTTTTTCTACTATTGCAAATTCTTAAAAAAGTTTGACCTCAAGTACAACTACAAGTTGAAGTAGAAGTTTTATTTCCACATCCCCATTGTTTTTAGAAATTTTTATTTAGTCCCCTGTTTGTAAATTTTATAATGTTGAACCCTCAATAGATACAATGTAGGTCAACATGTAACCTATAACTAGGACAGATTTTAAAGGCCCCTTATGAATTCAATAAATTGAAGTTATACTTTGTACAAAACTTTTACTTCAAGTTCAAAAATAGGAAACTGGACGTGTGTTGCCTTTAGTGTTCTATTTTTGTTCAATTGTTGGACAGATTTTTAGAATGAAAGAGAATGATACATGCAATCAGCTGACCTTTATTACTTTAATTTAATAACATTTGTCATTTGCACTGAAATCTATGACCTACAAATTGTACAATATATAAATCATGGAGAGAGGGCTCATTGAAGATTCAGTTCCTTAAAAGAGATATTTACTTTTACAGTCATCTATCAAAAATTTATAAAAAAAACTTTAAAAGGTTGCATTGTAGCAAGCAAATTTTTGATACAGTTTTACTCAAAGGCCTTTTAAAGGAATTGTGACATATCCTTTCCTCTCAAAAGATGTGCTGTATATAGTGTTAATAAATATTCTGAAAATGCTGGACATTTGATCCATGTTTGTATTTCTCCTTGTGTTCATTGAACTATGAGTTCCTTCTGTTGACTTTCTTATTCTTCAGACTATGAGCCGTCCATCCTACCTCTAAATATCAGGTAACACATTGATTGTTTTTGCAACCTAATTTACAGATTACTTTTATATATTACAGAGTATTTAAAACAGTATTTGCAACTTTTGTAGGCAATAGTGGGGAATAGAAGAAATGATGGCTGTGAACCAGTCACGTGTACTGACACTTCATGGTGGAGAAAACAATGAGTTTAAACTTTACAGACTTGAGAAAGGTATGTTCTTTATATTTAAATTTTGTGATGACAGCATGTTATAAAGTGAAACATATTCTAATATAACTTAAGTTAGTCTGGTAAGTATATTTAACCAAATTCATATAAAATGCAAAAGCACAAAGATAGAAATTTTGTTTTTATCATGCACTAAAATATTTTGAATTTATTACAGAATATTAATAACAAATTAACTGTTAAATTACTATGAAGGGAACTTAATTTTCTATTTTATGTTATAGGTTGGACTCTTCGGTTTGTCTTGGGTCCGTCACTTCATGCCAGTCCAGTTCGGGTATTCTGTAATCATCCACAAGATAAACATACAAAATATGACCGAGATACATACTATGAAGTATATTGGAAGAATTATACTGGTTCTAAGATAGACAGATATGATGTAGTAGCAGATGTACACATTTACATTGCTGGATCCTTTAACTACTATTTTACAGTGGATGACAGGTCAGTGATGTTAAAATTATAAATGCTTGGAGTAAGAATTGGATATTATCAAATGTAGGCAGAAAATGGGAGTTTTATAAATTCTCAGAATGTTCTCATTTCAAAGGACATAGTACGAATTAGAAGAATATTTACAAAAAGTTTCTCTCTAGGATGATAATGTAATATGTGCAGCTCTTGTTCCAGTCAACGTTTAAGATTATTACAATATATTGTAAGCCAAGGTAGATTTTACAATGCATTCAATACAGCATATATCTCCATTGCCAAATCAAGAATTGAAAAAAAGTTTATTTGTATAGTTTTATATTCTTTCATCAATCCTTTGTAAAGAACTTGAAGTGTTACAGTAATAGCTTTATTTGGTCCCTAAAACTGGCAAAAATTCTAAATTTTAGTAAAGGTTGTATATGGTAACTAATTCATGAAAGTATAGTTTTAAAAAAATATAGATAAAAGAATATTATATATACGACCTAATAAGAAAATACTTGTGCTATGTTAAAGTCAGAGTAATGTCCTCTGTATAAACCAGCCAAAATTTTTTAAATTATTGAATTATTTTTCTACCTACCTACCCTAATTCTTTTAAGCATACCTTATTTGTTAAGGCATAACCTATAGTGATAATATCATTATGACATTGTAATAAAGGTCAAGTATTTTTAAAAAAGTTATAATTGTTAAATTTTTGCTCAATTCATATTTAGTAAAGATTCTTAGATCTGATAAATTTATCTTTGCTTGAAATATTTTGCTGATCAATGAATTTGAAAGATGGTTTCTGACAGCATCGGGAAGGTAACAGCAAAGCTTCTTCACAGAACAGGGTACAATATAGTACAACAGTATTTTTGATAAGAAATGTGAAATCCATCCTGTGTAGAACAAATTGCCATATTTTCAAATGCTAGTGAAAATATGATCTGCTTAATAATATTCCCAGTTATGAAGTAACATGCATATTAAAATAAGCCATACACATGATATTGATACATAGTATGTGTGGCTAATGAAAGATTCCCTCTAGCAATAACACAGAGTAAACTTTGTATATTTATACCTGAAAGTTTACACATTTAACAGCCAATACTTCACTTATAAAAGAGTTGATGTGCAGATGATGACTGAAAGCTCCAATTCCAATATCTATAAAAATAAGAAGATGTGGTATGATTGCTAATGAGACAACTCTCCACAAGAGACCAAATGACACAGAAATTAACCACTATAGGTCACTGTACGTCTTTCAACAATGAGTAAAACCCATACCTAGTTCAGCAACTATATTCGCAACAAGTATGAAAATGATGACATGCTTATGAATATTGTAAATTCAAGTTCTCGGGTGACTTTGACATTTTCAACATTTGCTATGAAATTTATTATTGTATTATTATTTAATATAATGATTATAATTATAGTGATTCTAGGAAATCTCCATCAGGACAAGGCTACTTTTTGGTTGATCCAACTTTATCATTTGGTACTGAAGATGATGACGATGAAGAAGATGAGATCAGCATGGACTGTATACAGTGTCAGTCTATACTTACAAAATTACTTGGACCATTCCCTGAATGGGAAGCAAAATTATATGCTGCCAAAATGTCTGGCTATAACATGATCCATTTTACACCATTACAAGAATTAGGAGAATCTAATTCAGCCTACTCCATACGGGACCAGCGCCACTTAAGTCCTGTGTATAATAATGGTGGAAAACAGTATACATACAAAGATGTTAACCATTTAGTCCAGAAGATGTCAAAGGAATGGAAAGTTCTGTCTTTGACAGACTTGGTCTTTAATCATACTGCCACAGATACACCATGGATTCTAGATCATCCAGAATGTGTTTACAATCTAAAGAACTCTCCACATCTCAAACCTGCTTACCTTGTAGATAGAATCTTTTACCATTTCAATGTAGAAGTAGCCGATGGCAAATGGAAACATAATGGGATTCCCATAGAAATTACCACTGAAGAACATTTACAGGTATCTAACAATTATCAGCTATGACAATATTTTTTGTAGTTCCCCTGGTTCTTTAAGGGTCATGTGAGCTAAAGCCATCACTTGGTGTACATCCCTATCAGAATTTTTATGCCCCTGACATAGGCAATGGGGACATTAAGTGTTACCCTTTAAGTTTAACCTGTATTTGAATAAAAATAAGGTGCAAACGTGTACTATGCGAACTTGTTATGGGAGTGAATGGACCTGATACCTATAATTGATATGTGACTAAGTGCTAAACACAAAAACTTTTCAAAATACTGACCTCTGTTGTGAAAATAAGGAGTTCTATGAAAAACAAATAAAAAAATAAACTGAGTTTCCTTTTTAAGCAGGACAACAGATTCAAAGCTAACTTAACAGTGTTTAAAACATTGTTTGATCAACAGACTGATCTCAAAGTTGAGCTCTGACAAAACATTGACAAGTCAGATATGTTAAGCTCAGTTTTCTTAGAATGTATTGATATTTAAACTGCATCAGAGGAAGTTTATATTGTCTACCAAAACGTTTTTCGTAGTGGCACAAATATATATAGCTACCAGAGTATGTTTCTTTCTTTATTTATCTGTCCTGTAAACTACAGACTAATGCCCTAATTTCAAGGTCATGCATAAAAATTCCTTAAATATAATGGATCCACATCAAAACCAGTCAAAACTTTTAAGACTACTAGTCATTTAGCTATATAAAAATGATTACTTTTCAGATAATTTATGAAGTCTTATCTAAAGAAGTATTTCCAATGCAGAAACTGCACCAGTTTTACAGTATTGATGTAGAGGAATGTTTGAAACAATTCAAATATGCTATTGAAGGTATACTATTTTCAAAGTTCTGCACATTTTTTTACCACGGGTTGTGGTGCAGTTGCACCAAAGTTGAGTCCAACATTTTCATGACATATTGTTTATTTAATAATAATCAGAAAGTACAAAGTAACAAATTGTTTTCTCAATTTTTTAACCTACAGTCAAATCTGTATATAAAGGTCACCCTTTAAATTTTATGCCTTCCTATTCTGATATTGCTATTATGTTTTTCGTTTTCTAACCAAGTACATTCCCTTACTTGTTGATTGTTTTTTTAATGTAATTTGGAATATTTCACATGCAGGTAAAAAAAACCACTTTTTTTTACTTTTCATTTTTTATTGAAATCTGTACATTTGTTAGTATGGAAAAACATCGAATACCGGTACCTTATCCTGGCCTCGTTAAAGTTAGTAATAGAACATGTAAATAATATGTAGTATTTGTTAGTTCATTTTACAAAACATTATATCAGCTGTAGTTACTAAATATAATACCACATTTCTAGGTATAAATTATGCATTTAAAAAGAAAATATAACATAATAGAATGTTCAAAAGAAGGACCACAAATAAAAGTATGATCAAAATAGAATAATTATTTTAACAAACATACAGATATTCTAAGTTTTATTGTTTAAGAATGGGAATTTTGTAAAAAAAATAAGTAAATTTAAATAGATAAAAAAAGAAAATTTGAAAAAAAATAAAATAAGTATAATGTTCTGATGAATATTTTTTAGTTTAGTTAACAAGTCAACATTTCATCATGTTATTCACATATAAATTATAATAGGACTTTAATTACAATTCGAACAAATGATTAAATTGAATCCACAATTTGTAGAAACTCTCAAGTTTATTGTTTTTTACTGCTATACACTTCTCTAGATTATAAAGATCTTTTAATATTTTCTTCACAGTATGTATTGATAAATCTTTCTGGAAATATCTTGTTATATAAATATATTGTTTAAGACACAGAAAAATCAGATTTGAAATTTCACCCTTGTATACATGTGAGACATCACCAAACAAAAAATTCTTGTTGGTGAAGGAGATACTTATACCATTAGATAACAACCATATATCTATTTCTTCAATAAAATTCTGGACATTTTCACAATTCCATAGTACATGTTCTATAGTTTCTATTTCTTCCTTGCAAAAACTACATAATTGACTATTAATTACTTTAATTTTACACAAAAATTTGTTTGTAGCTAATATCCTATGATTTATTCTAAATTGTAACTGTTGTAATTTTGTGTTATTAGTTACAGAAAATGGGAGTTTGAAAATTTCTCTCTATTCTAATTCATTAAGTTCCAAAATTTCATTCCACTTTTTCTGCCCATTAGGAACCACTTTAGGTATTAATATCCAATATATAACTTTAGTTCCCTTTTTTATACGCCCGTCAAAATTTTGACGGGACGTATTATGGTATACAAATGTCGTCTGTCCGTCTGTATGTAAGGGGTAAACATGTCAAACCGTAACTTGAGAACGAATTATCCAAATTTCATGAAACTTAATATAGTTTTTTCTTATGATGGTCAAATGATCTGTATACTTTTTGGTGAAATAAGATTAAAACTTTTTGAGTTACGGGACTTAGTAACTAAAACAGGTGTGTGTTTTTTTTTCACATGTCGCGCCATATCTCAAAAACAATTTATGATTATTGCTTAAAACTTTACACACTTCTTAGTTATATTAATCTTAAGATCTGTATACTTTTGATGATGATTCAAAATTCTATTTTTGAGTTATTGAGTATTTTGTAAAAAAAGGGGGAGGGGTTTTTCACATGTCGCGCCATATCTCAAAAACGATTTATGATTATTGCTTAAAATTTTACACACGTCTTAATTATATTAATCTAAAGATCTCTGTACTTTTTGGTTTTGATTCAAAATTTTATTTTAGAGATATTGATTATTTTTTTTTAAAAAGGGGGGTTTTCACATGTCGCGCCGTATCTCAAAAACGATTTATGATTATTGCTTAAAATTTTACACACGTCTTAATTATATTAATCTGAAGATCTCTATACTTTTTGGTTTTGATTCAAAATTTTATTCTAGAGATATTGAGTTTTTTGTAAAAAAAAAAGGGGTTTTCGCATGTCGCGCTGTATGTCAGAACATATTTATGATTATTGCATAAAAATTCACACACAAGACATCGGGCGTATCATGCGCTCATGGCGCAGCTGTTTATTCTTTTTAAAATGGTTTGAACAAAAGAGGGAATAAAAGGTTCTGTGTGCTTATAATCTCCCCCTGAATACAACTTCCTTATCTGATTTAATGCTGATATTCTTATTGATCCATAATGGACAAGAAAGAAAAAATTCCCATCTAGAATTTATATCTTTATCTACAAAATATTGCCATTCTTTAAATACATCAATCCAAATTTTTTTTTTGATATTTAAAATAGTGTTTGTTGTGTAACTATTTCCTAGTTTGAACAATGTCTCTTTATCTACATTTGTAAATAAAATGTTTAATCATTTACAATTAGAACTAAAAAATTTCTTATCCATGTACATTTTAAAGCTATCATAAATAAATTAATGTTTATCATCTTTAAACCACCATTCATATAATCCATATGTAACACTTCTTTTTCTTTTTTTACTCTATGAACTGGTGAGTTCCACAAAAAATAATAAATAGCATCATTGATTTTCTTAATCATCTTAGCATTTGGGTTTGGTTATGTTAAAAAGAGATGATTTAGTAAAGGAAAAATACGAGTTTTAACCACTGATATTTTTCCAATAACTGTTTAGTTTCTTTTAGACCATGTTTAAAAAAAAAAACCAAATAAACACTTTTAAGCCAAAATATAATCTTCATAAATGCTCAGATACTGAAAGAAAGTTTTCAAATTTTTCAGCTATGACTTCAAATCATTTTGCCTCCTTTTGATTTAGCTGTTATGATGTCAGGAAAAAATGGTCATGCCAAAAGGTACTTCATAGAAGAAGTTTTTTTGGCATTACATTTAATAAGAGCAAACTTTTCTTACATATATTGACAACTCATACACCAGGTGCTCATGGGGAAATTATCATTTTTTTTTCTGTAGAAAACAGATTTATATCGTCATCAAAACCAGTTTTAGAGATAATTCAAGATAAAGAATTCCGTCGTAATAAATGTTGCATAGACTTAGACACAGCATTAAGACTGTATAATACAGATAGGTAAGATAATTGTATTAAGTTTTAAGTAACATAGGTAATGTTTTGTCTTTGATAATTATACTTTATGCATCTTTAACATTGTTCAAATGTTAAGTTTTCTGGAAAATGCTTGTGATAGATCTTTCATTGTTTGTATATTGTTGAATTAGCATCCATGCATTTAATCTTAACGAAGAATGATAGCTCAGTAATATTTGTTATGCTGTGATACATTCATGTATCCAGGTAAAAACAAAATATTTTCCCCTGCCTCTAAGTTTTGTTTCAGTGATTCGGATCTTTGCATTGTTGAATGTAAAATTCTGTAATTAGATGTACTGATGAAGAAAAACTTATGAAAGATTATTGATACCTAGAATGACATTTTATAAGCATCTGAAAATCCTATTTTGAAAAAGATTTTTAGAACTAACTCTTAGTCATACTCCACTTCATTTATTATTTTTTTTTTTTAATAAAGCATATTGTATTTAAAGTTTCTGATTATGGGAGTATGAGAATTACTCACAACCATGTATGTGGAATGTATTGCATGTCAATCTGATTACTGATTTTGTTATTGCTGAAAGACGCCAGACATATCTGTGTGATACTTGTTTAGTTATTATTTTTTTTGTCTTTCTGGTGATAAATCTTTGAAAACCATAAAGGTCTTCAATCAAAGGTAATTTTGGTTGAAGGAAATGATTCTGGCCTTCCTTTTCAGTTGAATGGTCTGTGTATTAAACTTTTGTCTAATGGGGTGATTTAATACATCTTTTTATTCCTTTATATATGTGCTTCCTGTAGACCTGGTGTGTACAGTCGTCAAGAAAGAATTGATCAGTGTTGCAAAGAACTAAGACGCAGACTAAATGAATTGGCTACTGAAAAAGAAAACATGGTCATAGGCCATATTGGAAAAGCATTAGAGAACTTTATTGCAAATGCTAGATACAGATATGTGACTGATGATGGTCCCAAACTAGGAAAAGTTACAGTTAAGGAGCCATTGATGTTTAAGTATGTCATAGTTTTTGACTTTTTGCTAAAATTCATAAACATGAAATAATTACAATGTAATGTACCATATTACTGCTCTTGGCATCTGTCATCATAATCTGTTTTTAAATTTTTGAACAAACTGTATCTTCTGAAATCACTGGACCAATTTCAACTAAATTTTGTCTGAATGATTCTAATATAAAGTTTGTAAGTTTTTTCTCCACCAACCAACCAATCAGCTTACCAGTATGAACAAAATATGAAATAGAACAAAATGGTTAAATGCATTAGATTGTCTAATACAGTGATGTAGCTAATCGTCGGACCTGTTGGACCTAGGGGGCAGAAATTTAGAGGGTCCGACAAATGACGTCTTTGTGTCAGACCCTATGACCGGCAAATATTTTTACTGTTTGGGGCCATCAAAATTGAAATTTCTGTCGATCCTGGTTACTTGGCTTCCAAGTCAATAATAAAAAAATGAAAACCATTGAAAACCAACAGTTCTAATGACACATTTATTGCGGGTAATAAGGTAAACATGCTGATGTAAACAGATTTCGATCTTTTCTACATTTACCCAACTAACACAAGTCATGTGATCATAGTTATTTTCGTATTTCTCAGGATTTATCTTTACACATAGCAGTAAATGAAAACGAAAGTAAATTTCCGGTAACAATATTGAATAGAAGCATGTTTCAGCTTCTTTTTGATAGGTCAGGGATAACTCAGACTCAGCAAGTGTTATCAGAATGCATCCCTCGGACACACGGTTCATGCAATGGCATGTCCAGACAGAAAACCATGCGTCCATGGCGCGAATACGTGCCTTAGCAAGAACATTGATAGTACGAGAAACACGGGTTTCGTCTCCATATGACGAATCAGTTTTGCATGAATTAAAACAGTTGGAACAATTGATGGCAAAATCAATTATGTAGTTGAAAACCATTGAAAAGCGAAAAATTCTTTTTAGGGTTAACTAATGACCAGATTTATATAAATAAAATAATCAAAAACTAGTATTATAATTCAGGGAAAGTCTATACTATAGAAAGTCCCTGTATAATTTTAATTTTCTAAGAATAATTTTTTCATTTTAGTTAATGACTGTGAATACACATATTTGTTTTGACGGAAATGTAGCTTGCCACTGTCTTTGTTTTTGATCAAATTGTTTTTATGCCTACAAATATAACAACTATCCATATAGTTACTGGACAGTCATCTTATTCACTCTTATTGGCAAGTGTAGTACAACATTCTCATTTATTAATTTGAAGTTACAGGATAATTTAAATTGAATGTGGTCTCAGTCATTAAACCATCCCAAGGTCATATCCTTATTTGACCTAGTCGTTCTAGTCAAGGTTTTAAGGCGTATCTTAATCGAACTTGGAACTAATTATTATTTTTCAAAATAAGTAGGTCTAGCAAACAGTTGATAGGACTGGCAAAGCTGTCTTGCATGCATGACCCAATGTCTGACAGGAAAAAAAAAATATATCTGCACCTCTCCTAATACTTTGAACTTATGATAAATAGAAAAAGTCTTGACAGGATAAGAATGTTCAAAATGTCTAGATTTACCAGTACCTAACATCCTTGTCTATTGACTAATTGACAGTTTTTGACCAATTGAAACCTGTTTGTCTATTATTATAGGAGAAACTATAAGCAGTAAAAATGATAAGCAATACAAGTTCTCCAATGTAATTATGATGAAACCATTAGTTAACTGGTAATTAGTGTTTGGATTATTTAAACAAAAATAGAAATGATCAGTGATACAGGATCTTCTAATGAATTAATGTGACCGAAACCATCAATTGACTACTAACAGGAGTTATTGCTTTTAAATGTGGATTTTGTAACTTTTTATTTTTAACTTTTATTTAAAGCTACCATATTATTATATAGTGATTTCTATTATTAATCGAGTATCATTTAGGTATTCATTACTTGGTGCTACCAGGCAATACTCCAGAACTCATCTAATTTTAATTTTACCAGTAGTTTTTATTTTTATTGAAAGACCTTCACCTTCAAAACTTGGTCTGTCATAAAACATGGCCTTCGTGACTTACAATATGAAAATGCAAATGATCATATTATATCTCTGAATCTGTATTTGATAGGGAAAACCTGATGGGGTCAAAAATTCTCAGAAAGTCCAAATCTGCTACAATTCATGATTCCTTGATTGCTCTGTTTATGAACAAATTTTTATCTTTTTCATTCAACTATCCAATTATGAATAAATTAGAAAAAAAAAATCTATTTTATTCAACCAACAATCATTATCAGATCAAGGAAAAGTAATGATGAATAATTTTAATGTTTCATTGACAGTTATTTTGTACAACCAACAACACACCAAGGAACATTGGATTTTGAAGAGAGTACAATGTATGGTGATGGAGCTGCCCATATAATGGCAGTAAATGGTTGGGTAATGGGGGATGATCCCCTTAAAAACTTTGCTGAACCAGGTTAGTTCTCATATAATGGCAGTAAATGGTTAGGTAATGGGGGATGATCCCCTTAAAAACTTTGCTGAGCTAGGTACAATGTATGGGGATGGAGCTGCTCATATAATGGCAGTTATTGGTTGGGTAATGGGGGATTATCCCCTTAGAAACTTTGCTGAGCCAGGTTAGTTCTCACATTATGGCAGTTAATGGTTGGGTAATTGGGGATGATCCCCTAAAAAACTTTGCTGAGTCAGGTTAGTTTCTCTGCTTAACTCACAATAAAGAATTGTTATACATTTTCATGCTATAAGCAAAACCCTCTTTTAACTTGCAGAAAATGTACCTGACATTTTAGTTGTTGAAGTTCACAGAAAGTGAATTGAGTCTTGAAGAGTAGTCAGAGCATTTAGATTTGCACTTTGTTGTATGATTGCTTCATGTTATGTGGTCCCTAAATAGTTTCAAGACTAAAACACTTTAGCCATGGATCCAGAAATTTCATACATACTGAAAAGAGATAAGTCAAGCTAAAAGGTACTTTCCAGTCAAGTCTACTCTCAGGATTATAACTTAAAACACCTTGAACCCAAAATCTACAAACTTTACAATCTTGCCAAAGATTAAGATCATTTTGAGGATGGAATATGACACTGTCAAAGGTTTTATCAGATAATATTTTGCAAATGAATTACCGTTAGTGCTTATTCATTTATTTCTGTGGGTATTAATTTTTTACAGATTGAGGAAATATAGAATTTTCATGGATACTTGATTTCAAGGTTTTGCCAAAGTTTTTATACAAGCCTATAGGAAATTTACACTCCATGGAATACTTAAATTCACTGTTCACCTATCTCAATGCAATCCACAAAAATTGATACTCAACAAACAATAATGAATCCATAGTATCACTTACTATTTCCTAAATGTTGAATTGTTTGTATTTTCAGGTAGAGATGTATACTTAAGGAGAGAGCTAATAGCTTGGGGAGATAGTGTTAAATTAAGGTTTGGAGAAAAGCCAGAAGAATGTCCCTTCTTATGGGATCTTATGAAGAACTATGCTGAAACAACAGCTAGAATATTTCATGGTGTTAGATTAGACAACTGTCATAGTACTCCATTACATGTTGCTGCAGTAAGTGGAGATAGTAGATTTAATTTCTTTTTGACAGTTAGGTTGAATAATTTCAATGATTTATAAAATGATTTTCATCATGAAATTGCACCTACTACTTTTGATCTTCGTCCAGGGCTTTGACAGTCCACTCTTTCCATTACTGCTTATATTATTTGGAGATGATAGGTGATACTCATCTTGGAAGACCTACAGATGTTTTTGATGAATTGAAGCAGTATTATTGATGTGCCAGTGATGGTCATCAGAAGTTATGTTGATATCATTTAAGAATAACCATATTTTTAGATTCCAATTTAAGTAGCTGCCTACATCATGTATGATGCTGTAAACAGTAGAATAGTTTCTTAAGTATTGAAATTTAAGAAATAGCTACTAATATATGCATCATATTATCATGCAGTCTTTAACAGGCTAGATGTTAATTAAGTTTCAGTGTATACTTGCTTTTATTTTAATAAACCTGTATTTTATAGTATATGATTGATGCTGCTAGGAAGGTGAGACCTGATTTGTATGTTGTAGCAGAGCTCTTTACTGGACATGAAGATCTGGATAATTTATTTATGAACAAACTTGGCATCAATTCACTTATTAGAGGTAAGGATATGATAAATGTTTTTAATAAATGAAAGTGGGATAAGAAACCAAGGGACAGTAAAAACGATAAGTTGAACAAAAACAGACAACACCATGGCCAAAGGAAAAATGACAAAAGCCAAACCACAGTCCTCACACCAAAAACACTTCTGAAAATTGAGCTTATGAACCCCATTTAAGAACCGGTGGAGAACTAAAGTGCTTGTGATAGGTCAGCCATCCTTGTGTCCATGTATTCACAAGTCTACTTTTCCCATTACCTCTTTGGAAGTTATAGGATAATCAGATAATTAACTGTAATTTTTTTCAGTTGGTAAGTGAAATTAAATATTTTTTTGTGTTATGATGTTGCAAATCTAATTAGCTTATACAATAGAACAATGTTTTTTTTAGGGATAGTTGAGTATTTCTTTCTTTCATATATGTAAGTGTGTATCTATTGAGCCTGTAATTGATAGAGGTAAATTATAACTTGTTACAAGACTGTAGCTTGCCAGTGTCATCATTTTATTACCTGTAATGCCTCACTTAATTTTGTATGATGTTTAAACTTTTGAGAATAATTCTTATATGATGGTTACTTCCCACTAAGAGGTGTTATCTTATTATTCTTCCCCACATGATATCTTAGGAAGTTCATCTAAATATTGAAATATAACATGAGTTAGCTTATTGTAAAAATATGAATGTTTAACACCGCTATGCAGTTATGCAGTTCTAATTCAATTTTTATTTTCCAGAGTCTCTGAATGCTGGAAATGCACATGAACAAGGTAGATTAATACATAGATATGGAGGTCATGCAGTGGGTTCTTTTAATCAACCTAGATTACGACCTTTATTACCAACAACAGCACATGCTTTATTGTTTGATCAAACTCATGATAACAAGAGTCCTATTGAGGTAACCATATTTCAAGTAGTATACGTTTAAAATGTTTTTTTCTCCTTTAGTTGTCAGAGGCAAATCAGTTTAACTTTTTGAATTAGTCATCCAATACATAAAATACAAGCCATAGTTTTTTTTTCTGATTTACTGCTTGTATATTTTAGATAAACAACAATTGTATAAGATAGTCGTGTGATGTCAGTTACTATCAATCATTGCCAAAACATGTGTAATGAGAATTTAAATGATATGCAAAACTTTTCTCAGAAACACACATCATTTTAATGCATATATCAATATCCTTTTCCTCATATGATGTTCCCATTTCAATGATATCAGCTAAAGTTTGGTAGTCAATACTATATGTATATAACCAGACTGTAACCCTATATTAAACCCTAATCTGAAAGTATATGTTACCCGAAAGTAAAAAATCACCAAAATTCTAAAATATGTACACTCAGTAAAATGGAATTTTAATTCACTGAATAAATTTTTGAAATGAAAATACAGTAATTATAATTTGAAAACAAAATGGGATAATTAAGAACATATATAATCTGATTTGTAAACTTTATTGTAGTTGAGATCTCCATATGACAGTTTTCCTAGTGCTGCCTTAGTTTGTATGGCATGTTGTGCTGTAGGAAGTAATCGAGGATATGATCAGCTTGTTCCTCATCATGTAAGGATACTATGTTTTCCTGTTTATGAAATCTATTATTTTATGCTAGATGATATATATAAGTGTTTCCAGTAGGAAGTAAAATTTCAAGGATTAATTTATTATTAAGATCCTGTATTTACAAAGTGATCAAAGATATGTCATAAGAATAGTAGTGAAAATTTAATGATTTATTTAATCCTTTCCTATTTGTTAGTATTTTTTTTTACATCAATAACATGGTATTAGTTAAATACAAAATATTAAACAATAACCAATGTCTATAATTAGTGTGATCAATTTGTAACTTAAACATATAAGTCAAGTTTCATTTTCACTATATAAATGTTTAATTGATACAGTTCTTTGTTTTATGTTGAGGTGTACTTTCTGAGAGCCAAAAAAAATAACTGATAAATAAATAAATGTATTTTATATATGTTGTGTACAAGTTGTAATGTTGTACAAATTATAATTTGTACAGATTTTTTGTACAAGTTATCAGTGTTTTATGAACTGCTTAACACTAATGGATGATGCAAACACACAGTCTTTTGTTTCGCATATTTCTGTCTTATTTCCAGAACTACATGATACAGTCTAATACTGAGCCTTGATACAAAAATATTATAAGAACACAAAAACACTTTTTATGGATATGATTTTGTTATAAGGAGAAAAATATAATTAGAATTTAAACCATTCAGGTGTCCTTATTTCCAGTTTGATGACAAGGAGAGTAGAACTAATTGTTACGTTGAAGTATATAAATTTAAATATAAGACATTAAATTGATACATTTAAAAAGATAAACTTTTATCAGCTGGTACAAAAAGGTATGTGTCAAAAAACTTATAACTTGTACAAAAACCCTGTACAAATTATAATTTGTACAAACTTACATCTTGTACACAACATATATATTGATCCTGGTAAATATTTTATGTTGAAGTAACAGATTTTATTCTGAATCTTTTACTTTAATGATTAAAACAAGAAATTTGTTTAAGATTGTTTTCATTATGATGCTTTACTTGAACTACACAGAATAAAGACTGTTTTCTCTGTAGATCAATGTAGTGACAGAAGAAAGGAACTATATGGCCTGGACATCTGATGAGTTTCCTGGTAGACCATTTATGAATAAGAATTTTGGTATTACAGCAGGAAAGAAAATACTCAATGAACTTCACTTCAAACTTGGTTATGAGAAGTATTCAGAGGTAGCAAATATTGACTCAGTAACTGCCAGTATTCCTTTGTTAATTTATGTTGATCATTGTCATTTTGCTTAGTTTCTTCTGTTACCTATTCTAACATCGGACTCTGACTTCTTTAAGACTATGAGTTTTATATGAATGTTTTATTTATTTTCAAAATAAGGGTTTTGACCCCGATTTTTATGATTCACTGAAAATGGAAATGTGATAATATGAGCGAGATATGGTGTCCTATTGACACATATTCTTTGTTTATACTTAAAATGCCATTAATCCTTTTTACCAGTTATCTCGAGTTTGTTAAAATATATCAAGTTCATGATTTATGATTGTATATGAAACATAAATGGAAATATGGTGATATAACAAAATACTTCTGCAAGATGGGATATAAAAACATGAAACAGATTCTAACATTAGCAAACTTACAACCTTGTATAAAAGAGCAAAATTCTAGATACCAGTACTGTCAACACTTGGAAGCTTGAACTGGTAATAAACATTTGCAAGATTAATAATAATTAAAAACCAATTGTTCAAAAATTAAATGTGGAAAGACCTTCAATTGTTTAAATAATTGATAAGAATCTACTTCCGGTTTATTCAAAGTTACTTTTGGTGTCCAATCATAGGTTTCTTCATACTGATTCCAAAAATATATGTTTTCTATATACTTTTGTCTGAAATAAGGGAGATAATTTGCTACTTCCAATTTATTGGAGGTCACTTCCTATCTTATATGATAGCGTTATATTCACTGATTCCTAAAATATAGTTTCTATATTCTTTTGTCTGAAATAAGTGAGATATTTAGCTATTTCCGGTTTATTGAAGTCACTTATGGTCTCAAATGATAGGTTTATGTATGCCTATTAAAATAAATATATGGTTTTTAGGTACTTTTCAATGACAAAAAGTGTAAAAATGGCTACTTCCGGTTTACTCAAGGTCACTTCAGGTTGACATTTTTCAAGGTCATATGTCACCCAACATTTTGCAAAAGACATTATGGCTTTATCAATTACCAAGTTGAAATAATAATCAATTAACCTCAATTAAAACATTTCAGGGGCAATACCTCCTATAAGGTGTATCATATCTTCATCACAATAAAGCAAGCATTTTGCACTTGTTCTTCTATATATATATCATTAAAAGTGTCTGAGGAGATCATTTAACAAGTAAAAGTCAAAATTGAGAACATGACCGTGACCTTTGATCTTGACCTCAATTTGTAAGTTAAGGCTCAAGGACCTAAAATAAAAAATCCCTACATCTATTCGGCGTACGGTTTTTGACATTCAAAAACATACCACCAAATTAAATTGTTGAAGGTAGAACAATATTAGGGTTATTGACTAATTTTTGTTATATTTTTCAGGTGTATGTTGACAATTTACGAGATGATGTTGTAGCAGTTACAAGGCATAATCCAAATAACCATGATTCTGTAGTACTAGTTGCTAGAACAGCCTTCCAACACCCACAAGATCCAAATGGAACAGGCTATATAAAGCCTATAGTAGTTCAGGGTACTGATATTTTTACTTTAAGGAATAATATATGGGAGTCCACTTTTAATCAGATATTTATTGTAAGAAAAAAAGCCTTGAGGAAAACTCATTGGAACAAAGCTGGCTCTCCAATAATAGGTCATATTAGAATGGAAAAGAAGGGAAATATTGCAGATGGGCCTTTTCTATGACAAACACTTGCAATAAGATCATTTAATATGATGTATATATTTGGTTATATTTATGCCCAAAATTAAAGGAATACTAGTTTGTTTTTCATTTCTGATCTCCGTCTGAAATGTTTCTTGAATGCCTCCAATGATCGGCCAGTATGATGTAAACGTTTGGATGCATTGATATGTTAAAAAAAAATTTCACAAAACAGGAATATGAATTAGAGGATTTATATCTCTCTAAAAAGTAGAATGATGAAACACATACTTTTATTCCATATTTTAATGATGTTAAATCTGACTCCATGTTTTTGGGAAAGTACCAAATTTCTAATGTCTAAAACACCTCTGGTTAGTACTAAGGTGGGATGGCATTTTGCAAGACAAAATATCTTGGATAGTCAATGTCTTCTTCCAGTTGCTGTAAAATCTTCCCACTCTTAGCTACTAGATTTATGATTAATTTGCAAATGTCCTAAGATTGCATGAAATATTTGTCACTGTCGAGTAAGAAAATAGCAATAAATTATTAGATAAATTGTGATGGCAATGGCTTCATATTGTAAAAATGCTGTAACACACAATAAACAAGTTGGATGTTAACAGTCTGAAATATATGTTTTGTGCAATCACAATTTATCCTATGAAAATGAAGAAAAATGGTAAAGTAGATTTAGAATCATACATGATTTATTTCAACAGTGCTGTTGTTGTTAGAGGTACCATTGTAAGGAAGAAGTTTTTTTTAGCAAATATAAGCAAATTTCAGGAATATTTATCTGAATATTAATTGACAGGGAGCATATATGTCATATAAAATATTTTTGACAGGGAAAAGATAAACACAATTCCTGTGTATCTATTTTTGTTGGCAAAGATTGTGCTTTATATTATTTCTCAACATGTATTAGTCAAACAGTCAGGATTTTGTGTAATTTGATAATTTTACTTAACTTACTGATTCCATGGCAATATATCCGATGAAAAGGAAAATGTTTTACAAAAGTTCAATGTTTCAAAATTCATTTGATTTGACGGTCAATTTGATCCAAGATCTTCTGCTATAACATCATATCTTACTTCAATGTTCAATTAATTGTTAAAGTTATAATCACATTTATGTTCTATCACTAACTGATTTTAAGCTGGACTTGGGGTCCATGTTGATAGATTTTCTGTGTTACTAGTAATTATATTGAAATGTTTGTTACAGGGAAAGTAAAGGAAGTGTTGTTTGAAGGAAGAGTTCTGGAAGCTAAAGAATTCACATATGTCAAAGATTCTGAATACATAAATGGCTTGCCTAATTATTACCTGGAAATGAAACAGAACTTTGATCCTAAAGAAACAAAAATGGTTGATATTACCTTGTCAGAAAGTGGAGAAACTACACAAATATCATTTAAAGAATTTACACCTGGAAGTGTTGTAATTATTCAGTAGGTATTTCAAATTATCTTTTGGATGAAGGCATTGTTACCATTTCTGGATACAATGAATTAGACTTGTCAGGAAAAATGTGTTAAAATGTTAAGACATTGGTGAAACTTACTTATTATTTTCAAGGAGATTAGTTTTATAAGCTTAAGTTGGCCTATAGTTATGAATTATAAAAAGTTATAGCATGTTTTGCAAGTTTAGGAAATTGGTTGAATTGTTATACTTCAAATGAAAGATGTCTAATGAGTATTTTTCTTATATCCCATTGTTTTCAATTAAAATAGAAAAGGAAATGATGCATTAAGGGTAAACCACTGTCCCATGTTAGGGGAGGGTTGATCACTCTCACACATGTTAAACCCTGTCACATTGTTAGGGGAGGGTTGAGCACTCTCACACATGTTAAACCCTGTCACATTGTTAGGGGAGGGTTGAGCACTCTCACACATGTTAAACCCTGTCACATGTTAGGGGAGGGTTGAGCACTCTCACACATGTTAAACCACTGTCCCATGTTAGGGGAGGGTTGAGCACTCTCACACATGTTAAACCCTGTCACATGTTAGGGGAGGGTTGAGCACTCTCACACATGTTAAACCCTGTCCCATGTTAGGGGAGGGTTGATCACTCTCACACATGTTAAACCCTGTCACATGTTAGGGGAGGGTTGAGCACTCTCACACATGTTAAACCCTGTCCCATGTTAGGGGAGGGTTGATCACTCTCACACATGTTAAACCCTGTCACATGTTAGGGGAGGGTTGAGCACTCTCACACATGTTAAACCACTGTCCCATGTTAGGGGAGGGTTGAGCACTCTCACACATGTTAAACCCTGTCCCATGTTAGGGGAGGGTTGAGCACTCTCACACATGTTAAACCCTGTCCCATGTTAGGGGAGGGTTGAGCACTCTCACACATGTTAAACCCTGTCCCATGTTAGGGGAGGGTTGAGCACTCTCACACATGTTAAACCCTGTCACATGTTAGGGGAGGGTTGCGCACTCTCACACATGTTAAACCCTGTCCCATGTTAGGGGAGGGTTGAGCACTCTCACACATGTTAAACCCTGTCCCATGTTAGGGGAGGGTTGAGCACTCACACACATGTTAAACCCTGTCCCATGTTTGGGGAGGGTTGAGCACTCTCACACATGTTTAACCCTGTCCCATGTTAGGGGAGGGTTGAGCACTCACACACATGTTAAACCCTGTCCCATGTTAGGGGAGGGTTGAGCACTCTCACACATGTTAAACCCTGTCACATTGTTAGGGGAGGGTTGAGCACTCTCACACATGTTAAACCCTGTCCCATGTTAGGGGAGGGTTGAGCACTCTCACACATGTTAAACCCTGTCCCATTGTTAGGGGAGGGTTGAGCACTCAAACACATGTTAAACCCTGTCCCATGTTAGGGGAGGTTTGAGCACTCTCACACATGTTAAACCCTGTCCCATTGTTAGGGGAGGGTTGAGCACTCACACACATGTTAAACCCTGTCCCATGTTAGGGGAGGGTTGAGCACTCTCACACATGTTAAACCCTGTCCCATTGTTAGGGGAGGGTTGAGCACTCTCACACATGTTAAACCCTGTCCCATGTTAGGGGAGGGTTGAGCACTCTCACACATGTTAAACCCTGTCCCATTGTTAGGGGAGGGTTGAGCACTCTCACACATGTTAAACCCTGTCCCATTGTTAGGGGAGGGTTGAGCACTCACACACATGTTAAACCCTGTCACATCTTTATGTGCATGTCTTCTTCTTCTTCTTCCTAAATAAACAATTATCAATCAATTAAGTAAAACATTTAATTCATTTCATGCAAAGAAAAAAACTTTCGAAAATGAAACATTCAAACATATTTTTAACGTCAATGTATGTTTTGTAGGTGTGGTTTATCTGATGCTGCTGCTAAAGCAATATTAACTATTAGACAATTCTGTGGTCAGTTCGGCTATCTCATGAGATCTTACAGTGGTCGTAAAATATTTGATGAATCATGGGACACAACTAATTTCCAAGCAATCGTAGGGAAACTATCTTTAACAGATCTGAATCATGTGCTTTATCGATGTGATGCTGAAGAACAGTCTGATGGAAATGATTTTGGTGCCTATGATGTACCAGGACATGGTCCTTTTGTTTACTGTGGTATAAGAGGTTTGTTATTTTGTGTTTACACTCATATCACTTTTGATAAAGAACTTTAATAGTAAGCAGAAGCAATTTTATTATTGATAATACATTGTTATCCCCAGATACATTTGGCGTAAAAAAAATAAACTGTATTTTTTTCAATGTCATTTGTCGCGTCGCGGTGATGCTCTATTTCCTTTATGGTATATATGTTTATATTGTTCAATTCATAACTGAGAATACAATTAAAATATAACCATGATAACAGTTGTTTCAGTTTATGTTTTCTATATTCATTTATAGTTACTGTGCAGAATTATTGTTTTCCTCTTGGGCCATATAACAATATATGTGTGGTTCTAGCAGAGACATATAAAACAATATATATCTCTGGTTCTAGTTACCCTACCTACCCAACTAAATGAATGAGTGAAGGGTTTATTATAGTGCAACCTTTATATATATACAATACTAAATATCAAGTAAAAAAAGAGAAAGTATCATATAGCAATAAAATTTCAATTAAAAAAAATTTTTCATCTCTAAAAATTCATTGTTTCATGGTACTCGATGAATTAGTCCCAGTTGTTTCTTTATATCAAGGTGATAGATATGTTTATCTAACAAATAGTCTGTTAATGAATAGTTTTCTCTTTTTGGTATATTTTTTTCTGTCTGCTGTGCCATTTGTGCATCTGTAGTTATTATCGTGCAAATGCGGATTTTTGTCATATCTGGTCCGGTTCCGATCGGTAGTTTACACAAAAGTAGTCAATGGCGGCCGAAGAAAAATTAACGAAAATAAACAATGTTTGACAAGAGATTGGGAACGAATGTGACGCTTTTGATGTATTAAATGAATGAAACATAAACTTAAGCCAACTTATTTAGCCCAAAACCGATATGTTCGCTCTCGATTAACAAGTAGTACCGGCGGAAGAGAAAGAAAGTAATTTTATGGAAGTTGTAAAAATAAACGACCAAACCTCATTTTTAAAGAGAAAAATCGTTTGTATCTTTGAATTTCCGTAATGCAAAACGTAGATTTCGAATTGTTTTATGATTACATTTTTTCCATGTCTGAATTTGCGATTGCAGACAGACCACGTGCTATTAATCATGTCACAAGTGTCAGCTTGGGGTATTCGTATCCAAACAGTTATCACCCAAAGGGCAATTAACACCTATTTAATCACTCTTAAATGCCTCTATTGTCCGATTTGAAGGGATTACACTTAAAGGTGATATAATTTTTATGATCATACGCGGTAATTAGATGAAAGTTCAAAATTTAGGACATGGATTTACGATATAGAAACAAGAAAAATAGCATCCTCAAAATAATTATAGTGTCGCGGAAATTATTATAGTATCACAGGAAAAAATATAGCGTCGCGGTATCGAGACGCTAAAACGGCCTGGGGAGAACACTGTAATATTTTAAGAAAATTTTGTTTTTTATTAGGGAAAAAAGGACTCACTGACACATTTTCAGAATTTGATTGATTGATACAATTTATGTTGATATGAGTAATTTTCATAATATTTCACATTTCTAGGTATCTTAGCTGTGTTGAATGAAATGAGAGAAAGGAATGATCTAGGACATCCTGTTTGTGGAAATCTCAGAGAAGGGAACTGGCTTCCTCAGTATATAGCTAACAGACTTAAAGTCAAAGAAGGAACAAAAGTTGTAGGTTAAGTTTGATCTTTATCATTATGAACTTATATTAATGTAGATATGGATTCTACCACAACACCTCATTGATTACAATATTCCTCCACAGGAAATTCTTAAATGTTCAAACCTTAAAATTCAAGGGTTTACAAAGAATTTTATTTTAACTATCAAGAGTGGATAAATATTGTAGTTATGGGGGTAAAGTGGTAGAAACTGTTTCTTTTATGTCTAATGATTTAATGGAAAATGACTAATTTCTGTTAGTTTTTCTAATGGCAACTGTCTGCCATCCAATTAACCACAGATCAACAAAATTCTGATAATATGTCGAGGACTTTTTAATATATTGTAACCACTTATTACAAGATTTTTGTTCTGTGTTTTAATTTTTCAACATATGAGGGTAGGTAGGCAAATTGGGGAGATTATGCACTAGTGAAACTGGTTTAACCCCATTGTCTTTTATGCTTATACTAAGTCAGACTATCTGGACCATGTGTTTGTTGTTGTTCATCTTTGTTTGTACATCTATTTTTTTTATAGCATCATATAAATAAGAAAGAAACTGTTTTAAACAATACATAAGTGAATATAAAATATAAATGAAATTCAGAATGCATTCAAGAACAATGTTTAAAATATATACTTACCATATTGTCCTTTCCTGTAAAATATCATCAGATTTTTACTGAGCATATCTAGATCGCATTTTTTTCTATTCAATATTAACCAAAAGATCACTTGTGAATATGCAAATATAAACTGGATTTTTTAACATTAAATGGAAAGGAAATTGTTTTGAGCAGGAGTTAAGTCGACTATACTATACCGTTTTGTATAAGAAAATGACTTGAAACATTCACATTTTTTTACTTACAGCTAGGACAGTGGTTTGATGATGTATTTAAACATCTGCACAATGTGCCAAGGTCTCTGGTTCCATGTTACTTTGACACTATTGTAATGGGATCTTACCTTGTACTTCGTAACAGGGCCGTAGAACAGATGTCTGAGTAAGTTACTTTGTTTTTCATATATATATAAGGATTTCAAATCGACAGTGCAGATTCTTCAAATATGATAATCTCATTTAAAAAATGAAGATTTTTCGAAAATACTTAAAATGGTCAAATGTTCCATTCAAAACCCATAAAATAGTTGCCATGTTTAGTCAAATTTGTCTATTCATCTAGTATTTCCTTATAAGTTCTGTGAATAATTATTGACAAAATGTTTTGTATTAGTGATTGAGTTATGTTTTGAAAATTTTAGATTTATCATTTCTTATATTATACCTGTAAACATATTATATTCATAATTTATGCTCTTGTAGCAAGATTCTTTTCCTCTGGTTAGAAATTATTTTGTACTTTCATTGACTTCTGCTATATATTTTATACTGCATGGCTGAGTGGTTAGTGGTATAAATTACATAAAAAGTCAAATAAAAGGAAAATGTTTAAAGGTGATAAGTGTACATGTACATAAAATTTATTTTTTGGCCACAAAATAATCTTCTATATTGATAATTATTACTTGTTTTATTTTAGTTTTATTAAAGATGGATCCACTTTTCTCAAGATATTGGCAATGGGAGCTGTCCAATTTTGTGGCTATGTAAAGACATCAAAGTTGCCTCCCTTGTCCCCTAACTTATTACCACCTAATCCACCTGTAGATGAAGATGACAAAGAGGCCACATTATCGTTAGCAGCTGGTATGTGTCATCTTTGTACTTTTTTTTGAAAGCTTGAGTTCATATTGATGATGCTAAAATTTAACATACTTATAGTCATTTGCAAAATACCTGTTGTAGTCACATTTAAATTATATGGTGCCATTTAAATTGGTATATTAGCCTAGCAAATAGATATCTATATTGTTTCAACTCCAGGAGGTTACATTGGATTTCAGCGAGATTGTAGCCAAGAAACTCCCTCTTGTTTACTAAACCATAGATCTATAAGTAAATTGTGCTTTTTCACCGATCTTGATAAACTTAACACTACACACTTCTTTATTTCTGTTATTATAGGTTTTTCTCACTTTGGTGCTGGATACATGAGAAACTGGGGACGGGATACGTTTATTTCATTGAGAGGATTATTACTGGTAACTGGTAGATATCAGGAAGCCAGGTAGGATAACTAAGTGATGCCATAAAAACACTATTCTTATTACTTTACTCCTTTCCTTATTTTTGGTAATCAGATTTATTGCATGTGCATGATTTCATTATGAATGAAAAAAATCCTGTGAATGTTTGAATATTGGATAAAACAATATGACTGTCAGTTTAATGGGGTGCCAGTATGAAAAGATGATATAAATTGTACTTAATTCAAAGTTATATTTCAATTGAAGCTTTTAACTTCGATTCATTGTAGAGAATAAAAATCAGTTCAACATGGCTTTTAATTTGGCAATTTTAACCTACACAACTAATATGTCAAGAATGTAAAAAGTAAAGTTGAACTTAGATAATGTGTCTACTTCATCTACTGTGTAAGAATTCATATATCTTCTTGTCCAGCATGTCCAATAAAATCCTTCATGTTTTTTCAGCCTTTAATGTTTTATCTTGTGTTGCCTTGTTTTAGTAGCCATCTACAAAGGACTAGGTTATAAAATGTTTAATGCAGGTTTAGTTTATAATCGATTCAACTATATGTTTTTATGTGACTATTGAGTCAAGTTTTGTTCTAATGAATGATCTATTTTGTAGGTTTATAATACTAGCATATGGTGGATGTTTACGTCATGGTCTTATACCTAATTTATTGAACGAGGGAAAAGGAGCTCGTTATAACTGTCGTGATGCTGTTTGGTGGTGGTTGCAGGCAATACAAGACTATTGCCAAATTGTCCCAGATGGTACAAGCATTTTACATGATAAAGTACACAGATTATATCCTTCGGATAATCCAGAAGTTCAAGAACCAGGCACTTTTGTAAGTAATGAAATCATACTTCTTATTATAATTGGTTTTTTTTCCAAAATTTATATTTATAGTAGCTACGGTCACTGATTAATTAAACTGATATTAAAGGATATTGGTGATTTAGTTTGCACAGTAAAACAAAAAATTGTTAAAGTCAGATATATGTAATGTCCATTCATGTTTATATTTATGTATATATTTGAGAAGGCATTTCTAATTTTAAAAACTTGTGTCTAATCTATTTGTCCTTTTGAACAATAAAATATGTTTAAACTTGTAAAAGGTTCTGGCTTCAGGATCTTATATGTCCATTGAACAGTTTAATAAATTTAAGTTTAATCTAAAATGTTTATTGTATAAGTGTGGCTCCACTAAATTTGTATAAAAAATACTGTTTTTCCAGGATCAAACATTATATGATGTGATACAGGAGGCTTTACAAAGACATGCTGAAGGTCTGAAGTACAGAGAGTTTAAAGCAGGTCCAGAGATAGATAGTCAGATGATTGATCCAGGTATGATTGAGTTATTTTTTTTCTTTATTTTATTATATAAATACATCTTTACTAAATAAACTTTTTAATTTATATTTTAAAATATTGATTTTTATATGACCGCAAAAAATTTGCGTTCGTATAATGCTATCATGTGGTTGTCGTCCGAAGACACATTTGGTTTCCGGACAATAACTTAAGTTTAAGTGAATGGATCTCTTTGAAATTTTACCAGAAGGTTCAATACATCAAAAGGAAGGTTGAGATTGATTTTGGGGGTTATGGTACCAACTGTTTAGGAATACAGGGCCAAAAAGGGGCCAAAAACAAGCATTTTTGTAGTTTCCGGACAATAACTTGTGTGTAAGTGCATGGATCTCTCTGAAATTGTACCACTAGGTTTCATATCACAAAAGGAAGGCTGGGATTGAGTTTGGGGGTAATTGCCCCAATTGTTCAGGAATTAGGGGCAAAAAAGGGGCCAAAAACAAGCATTTTTCTAGTTTCCAGACAATAACTTGTGTTTAAGTGTATGGATCTCTCTGAAATTGTACTACAAGGTTCCATACCACAAAGGGAAGGCCGGGATTGAGTTTGGGGGTAATTGCCCCAAGCATTTAGAAATTAGGGGCAAAAAAGGGACCAAAAACAAGGATTTTTCTAGTTTCAAGACAATAAGTTGTTAAAGTTTATGGAACCCTCTGAAATAGTATATTTTTCCTGAAAAGAAAATAATCTTCAAAATTTTATTTCTGATTTATATATAAAAGCTACAAATACTGATGGCAGGAGATACACACCAAACAGGGTGTGTAAATTATTATATATAACAGATTAAGTATTGTGCAACAGCACAGTATTGCGCAATAGCAGGAAATCTTCAATTGAAAAAAAATACAAATCTTTTAACCAATTTCAATGGGATTAAATTAAGTCTTTAATTATTGGGGGTTCTGACCTTGTATTACTATTTTTGATATTGGGCCCCATTTTTTAATTGGTCTATATTGAGGTCCAAAGGGTCCACAATTAAACTTTGTTTGATTTCATCAAAAACTGAATTATTGTGGCTCTATGATATGCTGAATCTTATTGTGCATTTAGATTTTTTATTTTGGGCCCTGTTTTCAAATAAGTCCATATTAAGGTTTGCAGGGTCCAAAATTAAACTTTGTTTGATTTCAACTAAAATTATATTTTTGGTGTTTTTTTATATGCTGAATCTAACCATGTTGTTAGATTTTGGTTATCAGACCATACTAGGTAAATTAAATGTACCATTTCAAATTTTTAAGATCTTTGACCACATTTATTTTGTGTCAGAAACCTATATTATGTCAAAAATTTGATCACAATCCAAATTCAGACAGTATCAAGCTTGAATATTGTGTCCAAACTTGCCCCAACTGTTCAGGGTTCGACCTCTGCGGTCGTATCAGGCTGCTCTTGGTGAAGTATTTTATTATTATTTCTTACTTACATGTTAAAAATTCTGTTTTGATCTCAAGACACGAGAAAAGTCGTCCGATCTATAATATAAAATAAGGAGAAGTGTAAGTTAACCAATTATGTCCTATTTCCCATTGTGACAATTTTGTCTGGATTCACTTGTCAGTTGATGCATACATAAGCAGGAGATGGTTACCCTGTTAAATTAATAAGTCTCCCAAACGAAGTTTGGGAAGACTTATTGTTTTTGCTCAGTTCTTATTATTATTATTCTTCTTCTTCTTCTTCTTCTTCTTCTTCTTCTGCTTCTTCTTCTTCCGCCGCTTTTAAATTTGAACTTGTCCGCACCCGTTCTCCAAAACCGCTTGTCAGATTAACTTAGGGTTTCACAATATGTTAGACTAACATGTCTAGTGGTGCAATCAGGGTTTTGTTTGTGCAATGGGGTTTATAAAGGGGTACTTTGAGGGGCAAAAAGAAAAGAGGGTTTTACTATAGAACCCTATGGGATTTTATTTTTTTAAATTTTCAAATGATTATAAATTGAAAACCATTTGTGATAGACACAATCTTTTTAATTGAAAATGTTCTAAATGATAAAGCCCATTAAATGAAATACAGGGTTAGTCCCCAGGGGTCACCCCCACCCCCTGCCATTTAAGAAAGTTCTAATACCTTGTAAGTGGTCAAGATCCCCACCCCTAAACCATATATATTTTGGTTTGTTATGCTAAGATGGTTTGAATGATATACAGGGTTAGTCCCCAGGGGTCACCCCGACCCCCTGCCATTTGAGAAAGTTCTAATATCTTGTAAATGGTCGAGATCCCCACCCCTAAACCATATATATTCTGGTTCGTCATGACAAAGCACATCAAATGAAAGACAGGGTTAGTCCCCAGGGGTCACCACCACCCCCTGCCATTTAAGAAAGTTCTCATATCTTCTAAGTGGTCAAGATCCCCACCCCTAAACCATATATATTCTGGTTTGTCATGCTAAGATGGTTTGAATGATATACTGGGTTAGTCCCCAGGGGTTATCCCGACCCCCTGCCATTTGAGAAAGTTCTAATATCTTGTAAATGGTCGAGATCCCCACCCCTAAACCATATATATTCTGGTTTTTCATGATAAAGCACATCATATGAAATACAGGGTTAGTCCCCAGGGGTCACCCCACCCCCTGCCATTAAGAAAGTTCTAATATCTTGTAAGTGGTCAAGATCCCCACCCCTAAACCATATATATTCTGGTTTGTCATGCTAAGATGGTTTGAATGATATACAGGGTTAGTCCCCAGGGGTCATCCCGACCCCCTGCCATTTGAGAAAGTTCTAATATCTTGTAAATGGTCGAGAACCCCACCCCTAAACCATATATATTCTGGTTTGTCATGATAAAGCACATCAAATGAAATACAGGGTTAGTCCCCAGGGGTCACCCCCACCCCCTGCCATTTGAGAAAGTTCTAATATCTTGTAAATGGTTGAGATCCCCACCCCTAAACCATATATATTCCTATTTGTCATGTCTCGAACATTTGAATGACGTATACGGTCAGTCCCCAGGGGTCCCCCCCACCCCCAATGTTCTAATATCTTGTAAATGGTTGAGATCCCCACCCCTAAACCATATATATTCCTGTTCGTCATGTAATGAACATTTGAATGACGTATAGGGCCAGTCCCCAGGGGTTCCTCCCCACCCCCAATGTTCTAGTATCTTGTAAATGGTCGAGATCCCCACCCCTAAACCATATATATTCTGGTTTGTCATGCCAAGATGATTTGAATGATATACAAGGTTAGTCCCCAGGCATCACTAATGCATATAACTTTACTGGACCAAACCAATTTTCACTGGAAGTTGCCCAATGTCAGGCGACCCTGGGAATTACGAATTATGGGAGCTTCGTTTGGGAGACTTCGTAACAGCATCCTGTTACATTCATTTCTTGTTGTGGCATCCTTTCGTCTTTCTGTATTAAACAATTACAATATTTATATGTGCAAAATAAAAATATGAAGGCATCACAGCAGGGCCTAATCTAGGATTTTGAAGAGGGAGAAGTGACTTCTCCTTCCATGAGAGAGAAGGGAGAAGTGGTCAATTTCTTGGAGAAGTGAGATTCCATTACCGTTTCGGTTGCATCGTGTTTTCATGATTATCACTAAGGAAATTGTTTTAACTTCAATAAAAGATATACTTGCAGTTTTTTCATATGTTATTGTACACCATGTATATATAGAAAGTTCTTAATCAAAAGGTTTAGACAATTTATAGTTGTTATTTATTTATTGATACCATTGTGTTGAACTGTTCTAAATAAAATTTGTTGATTGGGACACAAGGGAGTAGCCTAGTAATATTATCATGATTTTGATGCATTAAATTCATGTGCATCTGCCTCAATTTATTTTTAAAACTCCAGAAAAATATGACTCCCAGTTTACCTGATGAATTTCACATGACTGGGAATTTAATTTATATCACCACTTGTCATTATTTTGTAAATCATTATTGAATGTCCAGGACATTGTGTTAGTTGTAAATTGAGATTATCGTTAAAGATTGTAAGTCTATGAATGAATATATTTTTCAATCGCATATTAATTATCCGATAAAGAGCTAATTTCTATAATATTTTTTAAAATATCATCCATATCAACGAAGTGCCAAAGTGGTCATGAGAAAAAATCCACTGCTGATCACAATCTGGTCGAGTGTCGTACGTTTGCAATCACATTATCCATCAGCTGTCTTTCTACCTTTTATATTTCAATTTTTATTCAATGAATATAATAAATCTACCGTCAATTCCCACCTTTAACCTACCGAATAGTAAAATTGATCGACTCGTGTAAGTAATAAAAATAAAACAAATCAGCTGAGTGATTACGCAACATCCTCAGATGAAAATCATCGTAAAATGATAACTTAAACATACGGTCAGTTTTCCGTTAGAACAGTTTTGAAAGTTATATCCGAAGATGTTCAAAGTCGCCGTTGTATTTATCTAATTTGATCGTTGACAGTATTAGTTCTGGGTCATTTCGAAAATCTCGATTTTCCTTGTAAGCCGCCATTTTTTTTACCTGTGAGACTTGTCAATCACAAGTTGTCTCCCTTTTACCGATTTTGATAGCGATTTGACTTCGCTATGAAGTCAGTCGGCTGGCGAGATTTAGCGATTTTCAAAATTCTTTGGCGACTTAAATCTTCATTTCGCCGTCAAGATTATGGCCTGCACAGACAGAAATTATCAGGCTTTTATAGACATTTTTACATTGTTTTTTATTAGTATCATTTGTCAAACTGAAATAGAGACACTCCCAATTTTAGAAGAAATATAACTGATTCCTGGTTTTACTTATAGGTTTTAACAATGAGATTGGTGTGACCTGGGAAAACGGCTTTGTGTTTGGTGGTAATGAGTGGAACTGTGGAACATGGATGGATAAAATGGGAAGTTCTGATAAAGCTGGCAACAAAGGAAAACCAGCCACACCAAGGTTATATTAGATACATCTAATTAGTGTATAAATTTTATATTCATCAAAGATACCAGGCTTATAATTTGGTATGTCAGACGCATGTTTTGTCTACACAGTGTCAAAGAGCATTAATAACTGAAAATTCCTAACAGTTATACCAAATACTGTTCAATAGTAGGTTTATCATGTTTATTAGAGAAACTAGCTTCTTTATGATGATATGTAACTAGAAAACAAGTTACATGGATTTGCTTTGATATCGATTTTATAGGTTTTACTTTTAGTCTTGAATATAGTAGTAGATAGGTTTTATAGAACACAGGAATGTTACAGTTCTCATGAAAGAAAACAGATTTGGGTATCTGTCAGTAAATAAACTCATCATAGATACCAGGATTGAAATTTTGTATTTGCGCCAGACGCACGTTTCGTCTACGAAAGACTCATCAGTGATGCTCGAATCAAAAAAAGTTAAAACGGCCGAATAAAGTACGAAGTTGAAGAGCATTGAGGACCAAAATTCCTAAAAGTTTTGCCAATTACAGCTAAGGTAATCTATTCCTGAGGTAGAAAAGCCTTAGTATTTCAAAAATTCAAAGTTTTGTAAACAGTTAATTTATAATTATGACCATATTCAATGATAATTCATGTCAACACAGAAGTGCTGAGACATATGGAGGTATAAACAGACCTGGTATGGGTCATCTTTTTTAAGTATCTCACATATGGTAATATATCAAACAGTAGTACCAGTAGTTGTAATATGTCAGTGAAAGTTTTCATCTTATGTCTAGAAATACCATGTACTATTGCTCCTATTGTCTTATTGATATGATTGATCCCATATGATAAGCATCTTTTTTCTCCTAAAACCTTTATTGACACAAGTTAAATAATAGTTTCACATCTAATTAAGATGTCACAGATTGTAATATGACTCACTATGAAATATATGTATGGGTAAGGATTTTTGAAAACTTCAATATTTGAATGGTGGATGGTTTAACCCCATCTGCACATCTCTACCATAGTTTGTATGTTGAGGATTATTGTGAATTCTGAATGAATGTGATTTGTTACAGGAATGGGTCAGCTGTTGAACTTATTGGGCTGAGTAAATCAGCGTTAAGATGGTTACAGGAAATGAAGGCTAAAGACAAATATCCTTATGATTCTGTAAATGCTAGAATAAATGGTAAGTATTACTTCCTTTATTATTGTTATACTTTGAAATTTGTGTTAAAATAAATGGTAAACAAATAGATAGGAAGAAGTATGACAAAATTATATCAAATCTAAATGTAAAACAAATATTTTATATTCAAATTAAAGTATCAGTGCAATTGTTTCTTCTTCTGATGTCACAATACACCATTATGACTTCATAAACGGCCCAGTGTGTCAGTCTAGTACAAAAAGGATTGGTATGCATATCATTTTAACATATTCTCATCCTGATATACATGTAACATTTGCCACTGGACACACACCAATCCATTAAAATGTTTTAACCCTTAGACTGCTGCATTCATTTCTATTGTACTTTTGTGTATTGCTGAATAAAATTTTAATCACTGATGAAATAAACATGTTTACTTACAATTGCAATATCTTTGTAAATATTGAATATTCATCAATAAAAGTTATATAAAAAAGTATTGTTATATTCTGTATTTTTTATTTATTTTATTTTTGTGCGAGTTTCTGGTCATTTATTACCTGTACAGGTGCAAATAGAGGTAAACAAAGGTAAATTTTTTTTTTTTCATGTTTTATTAACGCAAATCCATCAATGTAAAAACTTTTCAAAGATATCCATGACTTCATTATTGAACCAATATTGTTAAAAATCTCTTTTAAGAACTAGTTCCATTGCGATTATCAAAAGAAAAAAGTTTCTTCTCGGACCAACGTTTTTTTTTATGCAACTATTTTCCTGTATTTTCCTTCCGACTTTCGACTTTTACTTCCATGTACAAATATGTTTTAACAACAAGTTCATTGATATAACTTTCGTCAATAAATAATCTTGACAAACATAATGTTTGAATCTATCCATGTCAGTGATCAATATTGATTCACAGTTGAAAGGCGCAATGATAAACATCGCAAATCCTGTTTCATGTCATCCATTTCGAACATCGTCTGGGGAATCCCCATGGTTCTCGCTTTAAAAGTCTTCTGTTCGCAGTTTTGCTAGAATGTTTCTATTTCCATCTATTATATCTTCTGTTCTCGTCCAAATCATTTAAATTGGCCGCCGCTGTTACATCGTTATCATTGATATACTTCTGAACGTGTTGGCCATCACTCCAAACAATTTCCGCCATTTTGTTACTTTTTTCATCTAAATTTTTCACTTTCGGTTTCATCGCTTATACCTGATTTAAAGTCAAGAGAAACTCGAAAGTATGCCGAATTTTAACCAATCAGAATCCATACAAGTCTAAACTGCCGCAATCTCATGAATATTGACTCCGCCCATTCCATGGTAACTGTGTAAACAAATGAGATACGGAAACGACAATAGTCGCGCGTAGCAGTAGCGGACTACTTTATCGGAACGACAATAGTCGCGTGTAGCAGTCTAAGGGTTAAGCATTGATATCTTTCAAACCAATGCATAGTTAATGTTTAGAGAATGTTAACAGATTTGATAGTACTTTATAGTTTTTATTAAATTAGGAACCAAAAACTGGCCTTGTACCTCTTTGCTTATATTTGACCTTGACCTTGAAGATGGCTTTTATAGCTAGCTATACAATATGGGTTTTGCTCATTGTTCCAAGCTGTATGCTGACCTATAGTTGTTTACAGCCTTTTTCTTTGGTCTCTGGTGAATATTGGTCTCAATCATATCACATCTCTTTATTTTCATTATTCTGAAATCAAACAGATGTTTAGACTTTTTCCAATATGAATGCAGATATCATTGATCAGGTTATTGGTACTTTATTACAACAATTTATCCTTCTGCTATTCACAGTAAAAGGACAGTTAAACATTGAAAATCAAAATCAGATAACAAGGTATTTTTGTAGGGTTGAGCTACCCTTTTCCATCTGACACATACAATAGAGATGCTTCTTTTACAGCTTTGGAACCTGTACTTCATTGGTGGTCCCAGTATATCCCAAATTGAAAAAAAAACTCTAGAAAACCAGGATTTTTTAGTTTTAAGATTTTAATTCATACTTAACATTTCAAATGATTTCCCAAGGGCCTCTTGGTGTCATGAGATTTTGCTTAATTTGACAATCTCTTGTATTACAAGTGTCTGTTATTACTTATATCTCGTAACTTTTGTTTCAGGTGCTGATGTAAAAGTTACATTCAAAGAATGGGAAGAAAAGATACAATCTAATTTTGAAGAGTTCTTTTGGATCAACTCTACACCAATGCCTGACAGGGAACCACACCCAGAACTGATAAACAAAAGAGGGATCTATAAAGATTCTTACTTTGCCAAACCATTCTTTGCAGATTTTCAATTAAGACCAAATTTCTTTGTGGCCATGGTGGTGGTGAGTATTTTAAAATAGATATACTAAAAACGCAGGCACTGAGTAATAAGATAATGACAATTTCAGAATAATTTGAAAAGCAATACAATGCCATCTTGGTTAAAAATCAAACATTTTTTCAGAGTGTTTAACAATGTTGAATTCTGGTACTTGCTGGCATCAGAAGCATGTTAATCAATTATTGATCAAAGGGTGATGATTAAATAAAAGATAACAGTTTGAATTACAAGTTGAATAAAACACTTTATCATGAAAGTAGGCAAGTCACATTGCTCCTGTTTTGTAAAAAAGGTCTGTGGCTTGCACAATTTATCCTATTTCTTTGTGCCTTCCACCCAATGGGCTCTGTATTATATATAGATGCATATCTGTACATGTTTACATCTTTTAAGTCTCAATGATAAAAAGATACCTATTTGACCAACAAATTAACATTTAAATGGAATATATATATATATTGGACTACTAACTGAAGGTAGCATTGGAATTAACTTTCACCGTTTCTTTTATGACCCTTGATTCATCTCTCATTTCCCCCTCTAAAAGTTAATGAATAAGGACATGCTTCCTTGTATAACTTTGTAATTATGAAATGATGAATTCATTTATAACTAACAGAACTTAAGACTCAGTTCTTGTCAGGAAATAATGATGTAAAACCATCAAAGTAGAATGTAGGTAGTATTTTTATTCATTTAAAAAAATAATGAGTATATTGCTACTTTTACAACTAGAACTGAAATGGATTGAATATATTACATCACAATGTCAGTTTCTATATTTTAAAGGGGACAGTTTATCTAACCAATTAAGCAGCATTTGTAGATATTCATACCAAGGCTTCCAAAATGGTCACATATTCCGGACATTTGATAATGTCCGGTAAAAGTCCGGCTGGGCAAAGCACGAAACGGTCATCTACTTTTTATTTTTCAAGGCTTTTTTAAGAGACGGTCAATTTAACATAATTCGCGATCTTTTTGACCCAACCTTTTGCCTTTAACAGCCACACATTTCCAGTCATAAAAGTGACATGATCATTAAGTACTATCAGAACAACCCCTACTTTAATACCTTCTCATTTCAATCAAGGCTAATTAGTTGTCGAACAGCTGAAATTTACCTGTTCAGGTGACAGGTAAACTATTTTGAACCGGACATTGATCGGTCTATTCAAAGTTATTTTCTTACTTTTCACCGGTTTGCATCTAATTAATTTAGTCAAAAAGATTTAAATTATCAGAAATACATTTACAAATAAGATTTGATGAAAAAATTAAAGAGGTGAAAATGAAAAATCGTCATAACCACGTTGTTTGAACCAGAGACATGTCTCTGTTTGAACTAGTACAGGTGTGCGCATGTGCGCAGGTGTGAAATTTAATTATGCATCCTAATTTCTTTAAAAATGCTTAAATTGTCATTGATACCTTTATCTCACGTTTATTTCGAATATTTTCTTCAAGAAATAAAGTAGAATGAGCTACTTACACTCATTCATGCTTTGCAAACGTACTCGGAATTTACGTATCCGTCTTTGGTCCATGTTTTACCATTGTCAAGATAACATCCGGTTTCAGATTTAAAAACGAAAGTAAAGTTTTTGACAACGTTATTTTGCACAAATAAAGAGTCTAAGGCAGATATAAGTACGCTGATGTTGCACACTTCGGATGATGCACTGCCAATTTAACAGTTTACGTCAGAACTTTGAATTTGAATCAAAGAAAGTTTAATATCTTTTTTTTTAAATAACAATCATTGGGATGGCCAACTCGGCAACTGATTACCATAATTGCCTTTTGTTTATTTACTCTTAAAGGTTTAAAATCGGGATAATATATAAAATGTCCGGCTGGCTAAAAAAATTTTGGAAGCCCTGATTCATACATAGTATACGCATCATTTGCTTGCTCCTTTAGAGTAACTTTAATAAATTGTAACTCTGTGTTTTAGGCACCAGAATTATTTACTCCAGAAAATGCATGGACTGCCCTGAAACAAGCACAGGATATTTTAGTGGGACCTTTAGGTGTCAAAACATTAGATCCAAGGTAATGAAAATTTCAGTTTTCATGATAGTTGGATCAATTTAAATGATTAATGAAAAGGTTTAAATTAAAAAAAAAAATGTTCGTTAAAAGTTTAATATTTTGTATTGGTTACAGAGTCACCTTAGATAACATCAGAATAATATATTACATTGAATCTAGATCATTTCTAGATACTTCAACTATTTTAAGATGTCAGTCACTTGAGATTTGATACTGTAAATTCAGAAATTATTGCGATTTTTGAAAAATTAACAAAAATGCGAGTTTAACTATTGTGAATTTTGGAAAAGCTACATACAGATATATGTATTTGATATCAGAATGCGAGTTCTTATTATTGCGATACTCAAGTAGTCACGTTATTCGTATTAATAAAAACCTCACAATAATTTCTGAATTTACAGTATATATACAGCTTTGTTTATGCATTGCAGTGACTGGTCATATGTAGCAGATTATGATAACAGCAATGACTCTAATGATCCTAAAGTAGCTCATGGGTTTAATTACCATAATGGTCCTGTGAGTATATTTGAAATAACATTTAACCCCATAAAAAGGTAATGTTAAGCATGTTGCTAATCCAAAGATAGGCACAAGAACTTAATGACACAAGAGAAAAACATTCACACAGAACTCATTTACTGAGAAATGAATAACACATCAAGGCATGAATACACATACACACTAATTCCTGTTAATTTATGGATTCTTATTAATTCAAGTTGTTTGACAAAGGAGAAGTTATGATGAGGCCACTTATTTGGCACTTTGAATTCAAAAATAAAAAAGTATAAATCTATCAAATACATCCATAATGTTCACATAACATTAGTCTCAATTACCTAATAAAAAAATAAGAATATGTGGTATGATTGCCAATGAGACAACATTCCACCAGAGACCAAGTGATGTAGCAGTAAGCAACTTAATATAAAAATAAGGAGATGTGGTATGATTGCCAATGAGACAACTATCCACCAAAGTTCAAATGAAGTGGATGTAAGCAATTAAGTTCACCATGGAGCTTCAAAAACGTGCAAAACTCATATTACATATCAACTATAAAAGACCCTGAAATGACAAATGTATAACAATCCAAAGGAGATACTGACGGCCTGATTTATGTTCTAAACAAAAACCAAATATGATGTAAGCATCAAACAGTAATCACTGAGTTACAGGCTCCCGACTTGGGACCGGCACATACAGAATTTTGGGTTGTGTTTTACTTATATGCCTTAACTTCTTGCATTTCATACAAAATTGCATAATCTGCAAAAAAAAGCCTCATTTTTAGATCTTTTCATTTTAATATAGATATGAGCCAAGGCTTTACCCAAAAAGTTAAACTATGTGTAAAATTGCTGTTTATGTCAAAAATATCAATTATAACATGTTTATGAAATCATAGCTACATTCAAACTGACTTTTCTGAACTGAAGTGTCCAGATTATATCAACCTATTCATTTATCAGTAGAACTTACATAATTTTGAAAGAATATTTTTGCAATTTCAGGGACCAAATAACGTGTCCTATTATACATCCTTGCTTAGACATAAAAGTTTGATAGCAGTGTTATCATTAAAAAAAAATAACTTAGATATGTCATATATTGTATTACAAATTTTGTAGGAATGGGTGTGGCTGATGGGTTACTTCTTAAGAGCTAAATTAATCTTTGCCGACAAACTTGAGAAGAGAATGCCAGGAATAAGGAAACAGACTATGGGATATATTAAATCTAAAATGACAGTACATTTTGAGCATCTCACAGGTTCTCCATGGCAATCATTACCAGAACTAACTAATTCACATGGATCTGTATGTACTGTTAATTAATGGGGAAAATATAAAATGGGGGCTTTTAATTCTGTTTGTATTCAATTTATTTTCAACTGTAAAAAAAAAAATGCTTTCATTGGCCAGATAGATAATAATATAAATTTCTAATTGAATCTATTCTCTTTTCGTTTTTAGCTCACCTGGCCCAATGGGCCAAGTGAGCTTTTTCTCATCACTTGGCGTCCGTCGTCGTCCGTTAACTTTTACGAAAATCTTCTCCTCTGAAACTACTGGGCCAAATTTAACCAAACTTGCCAAAAATCATCATTGTGGTATCTAGTTTGAAATATTTGTCTGATGACCCCGCCTGCCAACCAAGATGGCCGCCATGTCTAAAAATAGAACATTGGGTAAAATGCAAGTTTTGTCTATTATTTTGAAAACCATTAAAAATAAAGAAAATCTGACGGGGCAAAAATATTCAGAATGTTGAGCTCTACCAGTTGTCCATATACATCAAAACTGTCGGACGACTTTTTATAGTTGTTGCCCTTAAATGACAAATTTTACCATTTTTTTTTTCATTTTTGCCTTTTATCTTGAAAACTATAATAGATAGAGAGAAACTTTAATTTGCAAAAATGATCAGCAAGAGAAGTTCTACAAATAAAATTTGCATGGTCGAAATTGTCAGTCGACTCCTTATTACAGTTATTGTCCTTTGATGACAATTTTAACCAATTTTTTGCATTTTTGCCTTGTATCTTAAAAATTATAATAGATAGATAGAAACTTAAATAAGCAAGACAAGATCTACAATTAAGGCAATATGGAGGATATCGTCCGATGACTCCTTATTGGAGTTATTGCCTTTTAATGATGATTTTTACCATTTGTTTTGCGTTTTGCCTTATATGATAAAAATTATAATAGATAAATAGACACTTTAAATCACAAAAATGATTAGCAAGGCAAGATCTACTAACAAGTCAAATTTTGCCGATATAGTTAGTAGACTGTCACTTTTTATAGGAGCGATTGCCCTTAAATGAGGATTTTTTTACCCTTTTTTGAGTTTTGAGCAAAAACTGAAGAAGATAGAGAGAATCTAAATACCCTAAATGATCAGCATTACAAGATCAACAAAACAGAGATTTTGTCATGAATTCTACTCTCCTCTACAATATTTGAGAGTGTCCTTTGTTGAATATGCACATAGATCATGGTGAGTGAAACAGGCTCTTTAGAGCCTCTAGTTTCATGATCCCTCAGTTGGAAGTTTTACTGTAATTTTTTATTCAGTCCCTTTGTCGTTGTGTATTAGTTGATTTAATTAAAAATGATTCAAGCAACATAAAATGAGCATTATCATGATGTAAAACATTCAAATGCTGCACATGTTTATATTTATTTGTATGCTTAAATTAGTTTTCCTTTTTCAGTATTGCAGAGACAGTTGTGCTGCCCAGGCCTGGAGTGTTGGGTGTTTATTGGAAGTATTTTATGACTTGAATCAAGCAGAAGAAGAAGATGACTTGGCCAAGTCTGCTGTGAAGCCAAAGGACAAACATGATGTTCTTGTATCTGTTTCCTAGATATACATTGATATAATGTCAGCAATTACACCAAGTTTTATGTAATATGATTAGCATATTAAGGATAAGTTTTGATGTGATATATGCTTCTTTTAACATTTGGAAAAATATTGAGGTTAGTTGCGAAGTTGAACAAAACACATGTATGCATACATTATACATTTGTTGAATTTATATATTTATATCCTCAGTTCTTAGACCGCTGCTTACGAAGTGAGTATATAGTGATTTTGCTGTCCATTTAATTGTTCGTTCCTTCACACTGTGCTATGCATTTGTTTACTTAACTCAATTTTTCTAGTTGTTGAAAGTTATTAATATTTTGTGATATTTTTTGAGATGGCACTGCCATATATGATATTATCATGGATTTTAAACAAGAAAAGGCATTAAAATTAAGAATATGCTGTTACCTGTATAAAAGTAGCATATAATTTACATAGTACCGGTTTTGGAGTTTGTAATTCCATTGATGTTTTAAACATTCCTATGTTTGTATGGTATGACAGTGGTTTTAGTTGATACTGTGAAACCAATCTTAACTGATCTGTTTACTCCATGGGTACTTGGTCAGTAAGTATTGACTGAACCTTGTAACAAGTTATATTTTTTACTAGATAAATTGCATCGTTTTCTTTAAAAATATTCCTGAATTCAATATTTTTTATTGTCTTATTTTAACAATTATTACAACCTTTTATTTCTGCAGAAAAATGTTTTTATAACAAGAACTTATTCCAATGAGTTTTACTAAACTTTTTTTTCATTTTGAATCAAATAAAGCTTTTTACAGCATTAAATTTAAATCAACAGTACACATATAGTTTGGGTTGAACATGTACATAATGAGAATTCTATTATTTGTTGATCTCAATTAGTTTCCTTCTATTTTAACAATGAAATCCACAATCATTGTACTCCCTGTAATATTTATTCTGCTGCAGTATGTATGTATTGACAAAGTAAGAATCAGATCAGAGATATCAAATTTGAATATGGAGTAAAGCTTAATATTTGTGTTATAAATACAAAACAGCAAAATAAAAACATCTAATTTTTGAACTTAGATAATGTAAGTGATTGCAAACCATTTGTATTTTTTTCAATTCAGATGAATTCAGTCTTTTAACTTGCAAGAATGTACTTTTATTAAAATGTAAAAAGGGTGTGTTTGGGATGAAATTTGAAAAGAATATAGATTTATTGTAGTTATTGAGATTGCAAGACTATTCATGGTTGTAGTTGCAATTAAATTGCTCTTCCTAAGAAAATTTATAAACAATGTGAGTAGAAATAAATTTCAAAACTGCAATTAAACTTCTGCTAATTACATAAGGTTCGCTTTACTTTAAGGTATTTGCAGTGTTGGTACATTGAAATTTAGACAAAATAAACATTGTACACAAGTTATGCAAACAAACTTAGAAATGTGAACTCAGAATCATGAAAAGAATGTTGTTTTTTTTTATTTTTATATTTTACCTCTTTTTTTTCAGTACATATTTTCATTCTTTGTTTTTGCTTAGATTACAAACCAAATAAGCTGATGTTATGTGACGTTATAATTAATGTAATTTATGCTTATACTGAAGATTTAAATAGCTTTTGTGTAATTTAAGTTAGTGTTAGATATTTTCCAAAATGCCAATTTATTGAAAAATGATATTTGCAATTTAAACTGTTAAGCTGGGGTGTATTCCATTTATAACTATGGAGTCCCTCTAAGTGTGTCATGTTGAAATGTTAGCACATATTTGGAACCAAATTGTAATTTTTTTTAACCTGCAGTTAAAAGATGTAAAACTGTATTTGTTGCAGTATAATTTGACAGTTAAAAATTGACAAAGGCTTCTTTTAAGCCTGTCTTGCCTATGGGCTTCCCAAATCATTAACATATTACCAAAAGCTTTTGCCTAACATAACCAAATAACAAAAATCTTGTGTAAATCAGAGGAAAAACATATCACATGCAATTAGTTCTTCTATAGCATAGAAAGTAATACAAAGAATATCTTATGGCACCTAACAGGAAAAAAAGAAAACATAGTAAGTATATGCCAATCAAAAATTGTGTATTTTGTGCTAAGGAATATAAAATTAGCAAAGATTGATCAACAATAACAAAATTCATAATAAAAATCAAAGAGATTTTTTAAAATGTCATCAATGTAAAAGCTATAGCATAATACATCCAGTAAATTTTTACATACAAAATGCAGTCTGGTTAGACTATATATATTTGGTGTTGTGTAAATGTGTCTGTATACTAGAGTTTTGACTCACTGTTATATGAACCAAGTGTGAATACAATGTAAACTATTAATGTTCAATAAGTTACACTACAAATGTTCACCATTATATAATTGTTTCTATCAGTATTTGCTGGTATTACAAAATGTATAGAAATATTTTTTGGTGCTCTATTTTTTTTCAATAATAACCCAAATTAAATTACAACTGTTAACTCCATTGATCTCAGATAACAATTTGATTAAATTCTATTCTAAACAATATACTCACAACCAAAGAAGATCTTAAAACCTTAATTCATCAGGTATTATCTGGTATTATCTGGTATGTGGCCATTCTTAACTGTTGGTGAACTAAATCATAACAATTCTTTGATAGTCTCTATTAAATTAATTCACTACATTTAGACATATTATATAGAAACCTCTCTGTTGTTTGAAGATTATACCCCACATACATATGCAAAATCACAACAATTATACATAATTTAATACTTTCAAAAGTGTCATTTTTAGTGGCAGTCTTAGGGATTAGCTGTGTGTGAAAAATGTGCTTCTGTTACAATCCATTTGAATGAAACAGTTCATTTTATTGGTTGAAATCATGTACATCTTTGTTTTGATAAAGATAAGACATATTTTTTATGATTCACATATACCAAAGAATACTGATAAAATTGTTACATGATGAAGATGAAAATTATATATGTGTGTACTGCCAAGTTATTGTTGCTAAATCTGTTTTTCAGAGGCAAGATATATGCCTGTATATATACACTGTATATATTTAGATGATGTAAAGAAAGAAATTTTGGTGAGGGGTTTATTTTTGATTAGTTCTGTAATTAAGATAACATCAGAAAAATATTTCCTTGTGTATATTTCATCTTGAAACGAAGAACATAATCAGAGACAACAAAGATGAATTTAAAACTTCTTTCACAGAAATCACAATACAAATTATTATAGTAAAGCTTATCTGAAAGACTTTTCATTTGCTCACCTTTATCCAGATTAATGTATATGATAAGAATATTTTTTTTTAAATTATGATACCAGTTTTAGTGGATAAATAAATGTATTTTCTTGAACTTTCTAATGTTGATTATAAAGCCTAAATAGGGCTGTTTTACCAGCAATGGAATTAGATTTTTCAAAAAGTACCTTTGATTTGATTTTTGCTTTTACCTGATATTAAGTTTCAAAATTTGTAATAGAATGAAGTAATTCAAAATAATTGAACTGTTGCAGGCCCCACTACTTAACAAACTAGAAATAGTTGACATAAAATAGGCACTGAATATTACAAATAAAAAGTAAAAAAAATAATGTCAATTATAGTTACACAATTACAAATGACACAATTTCTTGTAACCCCAAGTCAACACTGGAAGATATTTGTCGGGATTGAACAAATGATCATTTTTATTAACAGAGTTATTAAAATGATGCAAAGCACAATGTGATTTAGTAAACCGTATGTAGTAATATTTAGAATTTCCTTGCCTAAATATAGTATGGCAGCAGATAAATTCAGGTTTTTTATGTGATTTGTTTTGTATTACATTTGCTTGGAATATTTTCATACCCCACACACTGCCCCCACTCCCCCAAAAATGAAGTGTCAGAGTATATAGGAATCACCTTGTTTGATTTGTTTGTCTCTCTGTGAATATTGTGTATGTTCAATCTATAATGTCTGATGAATATTTATGGATCTTTACTGTTACACAAAGAAAATTTTTATGATCAAACTTTTGGTCAGGTGACTTTTGAACCTATATCTAAAGAACAAAAGGATATCATTATTTTTGTTATATAGTATCAGTCAGTATTAAAATGCTTTATAATAAATGTTTAGTCCTGTATAAGTTTTTACGGGTATTTGGTTTGTTGGTTACCCTTTATATCATTGTTGCATTTATTATTTTAACTTCATAATTAATTCAGACAATAGTGAAAATGATCCTTTGAGGAACTTAATCCCATTGTAAATACAATAACATGTTTTTACATGGACGTTAAACATGCTTGTCCATGATGTAATATAACAATAATAAGAAATTAAATATAATGTTCTCACATTGAAGCTATTCTCCCATATTCTGAAATAATTACTAATTCTAAGTAGCTAACAATATTGTATATTGCAGATTTGCGACTTGTAAAATGAAAGATAACGCCCAACTAGTAGCCTAAAAAGGACAGTAATGTATACTTTTTTTAAAAACACAATAAAAATTCATTTGGCAAAGTGTAAAAAATTGCATCATCTTATAACAATGACTTTAGGCTGCATTAATATAGAATTATATAGGATTTAGTAGGAGTTTATCAATGTGTTGGCTTATTCACTCAAACTCTAAATAAAGTCAAATAAAGAATTTGTGGTAAAAAAAGAAAACACAAGAACCTATTCTTATGTATAAGAAGGCAAAAATTGTCCATTTGTTTTACTGGTTCAGTAATCCAGTTTGCCAGACTTCTCTTTGTCTTCATATTTAATACTGAGACTACTCATCCCAAGTATGAATTTTAATTGTCTCTCCCTGCCATCCAATTAAATTCTTGTGTATAGTCATATACATATTAAATTTGAATTGTTTGGTCAATTTTTATTGACTTTGCTAGTACCTATTCTTATTTAAGATTAAGGACCCAACAGAATACAGTGCCTGACTTTGTCATGGAGGATTACAGGCTGATATAGTTGGCATTAATTTTCAGAACTTTTATGAAATATTTTCTGTAGTTAATGTCTTCGAGTTCTATATGATGACTACAAAACCATTTAGTATATTTAGTAAATATTATTTAGCAATCTTAGAAGTTTCCGAGTCATTTTATAAAAAAATGTGTCTAAATTCAATCTGGTCATTTGTTTTCATAGTTTTTGTTTTTTAAATCAGCTGACCCGATATATGTACCAGTAAGTTATTTTGTTTTATATTTTAATTTTGTTTTAGTTTTTTTGCTTGTGTTACATATTTTTAACCTTATATTATAATTATTTGTTACCAAGAATAAACATCTTTTTATCTGAAATTCTTTTGAAATTTCTTTCATGGAACAGTGAAAAATTGACATTAATTTGATGATCTGCAAAATAAGCTCACCTAATCTGTTATGGCTCCTGAGATATGATGTGGACTTTGAACAGTGTGATTGATGGTGAAGCTGATTGCCAAACAAATAAATTGATTGATGGATGCTTTATATCCAGTAATTTATATTTCACACCAACTCAAGACAAGAACAACATAAACATACCGGTAATATAGAATCAAAAACCAATTGTTCAGAGATCAATCAAAGGGCTTTACACCTTCAAATATTTACCATTGTCGATCAAGCTTGAAGGATGATCTACCCAAGATTACACTGAATTTAAAATTTATAGGCATTTCAAATTTATTTATAAAAAGGGAATAAAATAGTCAGCACCATATTGATTGAAGTTTTCTGAAGATGTAATGAATAAACTAAAAAAAATTGTTTGTCAATATCTTTTACAGTTGAAGATGCAGTAACAAGAAAACAAATGTTAAGGGACTTCACTTTCTTGTGGAAAAGAACTGCCTTGGTAGTCTTGTGGTAGGGTGTTTACCTTGTGTGCAGAGGTCAGGGGTTCTTATAATCCACAGCCAGTTTAAATCAAAGGCTTTAAAATAGGTACTTGCTCCCATTAGCACAAAGCATTAGGCAGTAAGAGCCAAAACGAGTCAGCTCAGAGTCATAATATTGTGTTTCAGTAGGGTGACATGAACTAGAAGGTCCGGCTCAGTAAGTTGGTCTTTTACAAAGCAGGTTTTCTATTCATATATTAAAAGAGTCGTCCTGAATAAGCATTTTTTTTCCAGGTACATTAAACATATTTGAGATATCCATCAGGGTGTGGAAAAGAGTTCAATATCATGTACGAAACATATTTTCAATATCTTTTAAAACAAAAATTGTGCAAAAAGTTTTTAATAGGTGGAAGAATTACTTTTTATAATTATCAGAATAATAACAAAACATCTTTCCTCTAGAAAAGTGGAAAGACCAAAAAAAAAAAGAAACAGGTGAAGCACCTTGGCAACTAATTTTGACTGCTGCTAGAAAAGTAGAGAGAGTTGGGCAGGTAGACAAAGTTGACCTTTTGTACCATTTGATATAAGGTTACCATTTTTGGATATCAACAGAAGAGGTCTTCAATATGTGTGTAGATTTGTGTTCTGCGAACATAATAAATACAATTAGCTTGATATCTCAGTTGCATGTACATCCTACATACATGGATATTATGATCCAACTTTATACTATGTTTCATAGAGATATATTGAACCCACTGTGAGGAGTTGAAATTACAAGATAGGAGCTGGACAGGGAAATATTTTTTAAGCTAAGAGGCATGTCTCGGGGGGAAAACTCAATGGACTGGAACATCCTCCCCACACACACATCTGCATATTAGGATCCTACAATATACCAAGATGCAATCAAACATGTAAGGGAAGTTGCGATAACAAAGTCGGTGCTGGAAAAGGCCATAATTTCTAAGATGAATGGGGCATAACTCTAAAAGATATTCAATGGACAAGAACATCCTACCCACATGGGAATATTAGGATCTAGCATTATACTAAGTTTCATGTAGATACAATAAACCATGTAGGAGTATTTGCGATGAGAAGGTAGATTCTGAAAAGGATAAACAGAACACTTAACAGAATAAAATCATGATGTTTGCATATCATTGATCAGTTATTCTAAAAAGATTGAAGTTGGTGCAAACAAATGGATAAAGAAGTTGGTCCAAACAAATAAATTCCTATATACCCCCAAACTTTTTTGGGGGGGTATAAAAAAGCTTACATATCTTTTAGTTGTTTGTGTCATTGACTTGGTTGCTGTCTCATTGGTATATACCCTAACTGTTTTGATTCATACGTCAGAAAGCAGCTCAGAGTACTTTTATCTACCAGAGGCGGATTTAGAGGGTTTTCCAGGGGGCCCGGGCCCCCCCTTTTGGGGGAAAAATTTGGTTGATTATTTAGGGAATCACTGAAGCATGACCGGAGCGGGCCCCCTCTTAGGCAGTCAGTTGTTCCCCCCTTATGAAAATTTCTGGGTCCGCCACTGTCTTCTGATATAGATATTATTAATTTATTTGTGACATTAGACCATGTTGTGTAATCCAAGGTCTGATCTTTTTGTATTAAATCAGAGTAAAAAATTGAACAATATTAACCACAAATTTCTAATGGTAGTTAAAATATGTCATAATCAATCAAGTACCTCTTCAAGCATGAATAATTTATTTCAAAATATATAAATATTTTTTTCTATAATTGCCATTTTTTTAAATTCTAAAAACTTTTGTATACTTTTTAACTGCCAAAGCATGAAATTTTTCACATAAATAAAAGGGTGGGTATTTGTATTTTGACCTAGTGTTTACAACAACACTGGAAATGCAATGGCCTGACTTCGTGTACATTTATCACAAGAAAGCTCACAATTACAGATTGTTGACTTAAACAGTTTGTTGTCACTTGCCATTTTGGTGTCATTGTAAAGAAAATCAGCAATATTTGTACATTTTATTCATTTAAAGTGTTAACAGTACAACAATAATATATATATGTAAATAAATCCCAAGTAAACACACTAACCATGCTAATGATATCATTCTATATCACCTTTAGAAAAAATAGCACAAATAAAGTCTACAGCTGTAACTAGGGTTATATCTATCAGTTGGAAGTTAATGCCATTGCTTATGGATTTTCATGTAAAGAGGTCAGTTATATAAATACAATGTATATATGACAGCTGATAATGTGGCAGAGGTCAATACAAAATAAGACATCCAAATTAGTCCAATTCTAACGCATACAGGAATACATTTATTTTCACATTTTTTCAAGTACAGAAAGATTCTTTGTTAAATTCCTGACAAATTTCACTGATACTTTCTAATTTCATATGTATTTAATTTCCTTTTAAATACCAACTCAAATTGCTACTTTAGAATACTGTAGATTTTCCATGATATAACTATTATATCTTTGATATTGAATTTTTAGATCTCTGGAATGAATAAATGGTAAACTGAAAACACTGCAATTATAACTGAATATATCGAGAACAATAATTCTTGCAAATATGCTGTGACTAACAGAGCTGTGAAAATTGAATTACATTATTTAATGTATGTGTTAACACGATAACAGTTGTTTAAATGTATTCAACATATAAAAGACTATAAAATATATCAATAAGATAAACAGATAATGATACTTTATGTTGTGCATCAAATTAAGTACTGTAAATTCAGAAATTATTGCGATGTTTTTATTATTGCGAAAAATGCGACAGGGTTATAATCGCAATAATTTAAACTCGCATTTTGAAATTTTTTATATGAATTAAACAGGACTTTTCTCAATATCGCAACAATTAAAATCGCATTTTAGTCTAAAATGACAAAATCGCAATAATAAATGCACGCAATAGTTTCTGAATTTACAGTATACATGTATCCTGAGCAAAGTTGAAAAAAAATTATATTAAGCATTTTAAGAGCAAAAATAATGCTTTATTAGCCAAGAAAAATTTGTTTTAATCAAACCTGCTGGCTTTTTTCATAACATTTAAACTTGACAATGTTAATTATCCTCTACTGAACTATAGAAATTATTTTATAACCTGATTAATTAATCTATGAATATAAATTCCATGCCACCAGCACCAATAACTGTACCAGAAATCATGTCAGGCCATCTTGCCACAGCACTTTACCATATCAAACAATGTCATTTTACACCATGTTACACCAGGTCACACAATGTTCCAAGAAAGGACATCATTTGGTGCTTTAAACGTTAACCAGAGTCAGTGAAGCCCAAAAAGCTATAAGCTACCAACTAACTTAAGTCCCCCTGGACCTACATCTAAGTTACCTCTACTTCCTTGACCCTAATACATTTTACTTTGATTCAAAATTTGAAGTGCACTTTCATTCAAGCCTAGAACTTTAATGTATTTCTTAACATATAAGTCAATGAACCATAACATATGGGTTCAGACTAACCTACTTTTGGCCAGATGTGATTTACTTTATAAAGTGAACCTCCATGCACTGTTTATATATATGTAAAGTTTGCAATTACCTACTTTTTATAATATACATAGCCTCATCACAAGAGTCAGTTACATGTAAAATAAGAATGGCTTATCTGTTCTGGTTCCTTAGATACATGTTCAGATGCTCACAGGTGTGTATAAAATTGAAACCAGAGTTGTCCATCACAAATTCATTTAAAAATATCTAAGATCAACATCATTTTTGAGGGCTTGTGCTCTAAAGTTTATTATACTTCAATTTTTTAACTTTAATCAGCTTTGGAAAACAAGACCAATACCGGGTTTGGACCTGTGTCACTGCATGCATTTTATTGAGGTAACATATATATCAGAGCATAACTGATACTTCCAACCAAATAATAAAATCATTCACTTTAATAGGAGCCAACAAAAATTTTCCTTTTGCAAAGAGTTTTGTAAATTTTCAAACTTTCTGCAAACAGGAAGTGGCTACACAGCAGATGTAAAAATTGTGCACTCACTACAACTCAACATTATCAAGCTGCAGACCAAATATCAAATAATTCCCCATTATAAAAGCCAAGAAAACTTTGACCAAAGTATTTTTTCGGAGGGACGGAGGGTCAGACGAAAGGACAGAGTCCAGCGGTTACTAGACTCGCTGGTAAAATAAGAGAGAATTACTCGCAATGAACAAACTAGAGGCTCTTGTGAACTAGTATTGTATATCTGGAATCAATATGAGTGCCATTAAAGTAAAAGGGAACCATCAAAGAATGAAATCATCTAACATTTTGCCTTGATAGGCTACACAACAGCAGAGAAAATACTTAAGTGATCAAAGGAGGAATGAAGAAAGACAAGTAGATAACTGGGGTCTCACTAAAATAGGATTTAGTAAGAAAAACATTTCTCCATTTAACCATTTAAAAGCATATTTGGACACTTTAATC